AACCGGGGGATAGTTTACGTATTTAATTGCGTCATTGTGTTTCGCCCTCTGGATCAACTTCTACCTAAACCAACCATGTAAATGGGCAGGTGAGCAAGTCACTCCCATATCTTCATACGTTTTCATTGAAAATGAAAATGGCACGAGTGCGTTAACCACCGACGCTCAATGAAGACACAGCCCGGGACACTGAAGCTCTGACGCCCGGTCTCTGGACTGCGGGTCAGTCGGCGCGGCGCCGCGGGCCGTCCTGACTCCGTCCTCCGGCCTCCGTCCGCCCGTCTCTGGGCGCGCGGCTGGCTGGTGACCGTGAGCCGAGTCGCTCCGTGTATGGACATGTGGCTTCACGGACGGTGGGGCGCCGCGCGGGCCGCCCTGCAGTCGGAGAGAGAGAGCGGCCCCCGACCGGTGACCTCCCACCTCTGACCGAGCTCGGTGTCTGGCAGCTCCGACAGTTGACCTCTGACCTGACCTGTGCTGCCGCAGCCGCCGCCGGGTCGCCAGACCGCACCTCGCAGCGCCGCCCGGCACAAACCACACTTTTCTCTGCACTCCACAAACGACGAGACTAGCAATGCAGCAGACACCCTCGCCGACCAGACAAATGCAATAAAGGGAGGATTTCGTAACCGCCGGAGTTGTGTGGCGCGTAACACAGAGCTTGCAAGCTGCAGCGCCCTTTGTCAACACCGGTGAGTCATCCTCGCTCGTCGCAAGTCGCATACCCCCGCTGACATATCCCACATCCCCACATCCCCACATCCCATACTGCACCAGTGTGTTCACTGTTCAGGTCACAATGTTTTAGGCCATAGTAACGCCCGACAGTATCTGCCCAAGCAGTCACGAACACTCATTATGCTCCGTTTTCACGACATGCCCGCGATTGTGTTCTCTTTGTTATCAGTTCCCCATGCATGGAGCACACACCAGCTGAATTAGGGGGGGGGTGTCTGTAGCAGTGAACACGTGTGTGACCCACCCCGCGCTAGTCGCACAAGCTAACGAACCGTTTTTTTCTACTTCTGCTGCCTCCACCCCTCGGGACGCCCCAGGTTATAAATAGCCCCGGGCGACCGCCGCCGCTGGCAGGTAGGGTGCCGTCGTGCTTTCTAGGTCAGGTCACTGCCGCCGCAGTCTGAACTTATGTCAGAACCAAATCCTGCCTGGCGTCACAAATAACAACTGCACGAATGAATTAACTAATTGATGAGCTGATGGCTAGTTGACCAACTAATTGACTCATTTTACCTCGCCTTGTGCGTTGCAAAACTTTTGTCTATTTTGGTGAGCATTGGCAGGAAAGCTTGTTATTTTAGCGCAACTTTCCACGTGTAGGTATGGGAGTCGAACAGATAGTAGTTAGTTGAAATTAGGTCGATTATTACAAGCCTATCCTGAACGAAAACAGTTAAAATATGATGAATAGAACAAATGTCGTTATCTAGTTTGATGGATAAGCATGATAAATAAAATGAATAGTCGAAAGTCTAAAACGATTTATCTATGGCATGCATTTCAAAAGGACAGTCGAAGCGATCGATCAAATATTAACCCGGCAGGCGGTGGGCCTACCAGCCACCTTCCACGCGGTGGGGGGGGGGGGCACTTTTTTGCCCCCCCCCCCCGTATCTCCGAAACTACTGGACGGATCCCGAAAATTCAAACGGCGTTCGATAGCCCTGTCAAATTTGTCGAGGGAATCCAAATTTCATTGACCTCGGGGTCACCGATGACGTCACAGGTCAGGTCAAAGATAAAATGTTTCACCGTTCACGGGGCTTCTAGGGAAAGCGCTATAACACCGAGTAAAACGCATTTTGTCGAAAATCAGCGATAAGGCGTCAGTTGTATAGTACATATGTTGCTATTAGAGGTCACTGGTCATACCAGGTCAGGTCACAGGTCAGGTCACCAAAGGTCACCAAGGGTCACCACATGAGCCCAACTTTACTAAGGTTATGCGATGCATGTTTTATGGCCAGTTTTTCATTTCCAACTCAATGGTGTTGGTTATAAGACCATCAGGTACGGTTTAGGTCACTTTCTGGTGGAGGTCAGGTCAAGGTCAGGTCAAAAAAGGTCAAATTTCAAAGTTGATATTTTTGCATAAAATGGGTATCGATTCGATGCAGCTCGTCACGGAGAGTCTAATGGTGGTCTTTGTTTTGCGCTACGAGGTCTAGAATTGCTAAAAATTGAGTTTGAAAATTTGACGTCATCAATTTTGAACAGTTTTTTTCGCTATAACTTGGCCAAAAAAAGAGGTATCGATCTCAAATTTGGTATGTAGATAGAAGGCGGTAGGAGCTATCACATATATTCTGTTTTTTTCGAAATTCAAAAAACTTTTTGGATTTTTTGGCTATTATATTCAAAAAATCTATTTTTTAATTTTTGGGGGTCAAAATCCAAAAAAATTGAAAAACCGAAATAGCAGTTTTGTAGCCCTTTTAATTCCACACCTTTTATGTCTGAAACATTTTTCTGTATCTCTAAAGCTGTAGGCCTGACAGCTCTTCCCGCGAAACCTTTTTTTGGGTCGAAAATGGCAAAAATGACGTCACTCTGACGTCATTAGCGGCCAACCTATCATAGCCTTTGGAAAAAATTTTGGTCACCATGTGCGCTAGCTGCTCCCGGGAGGGTACTGAAAGTTTGGTGACGATCGGCGCAGCGGTTCTCGAGATATATCGAAAAAACTAAAGGGGGGGGGGGGGCAAAAAATTGCCCCCCCCCCCACCGCCTGGAAGGTTAAAGGGGAACTACCAAATGGCAAAAAGAGATCCTATGAATAGAGGAAAACAGTAAGCACAGAAGGTTTTATTTTAGATGATATTACTAAATAAGATTGGGGTATCTAAATAACCTTTTAAGATACTAACTTTTTAGATAACCTTTTTAATAACAAGCGGTCACTTGAGAGTGTTACGTCATGCAGTTTCCATGCGAGCTTCTGATTACGTCATCCAGTTTCGTGTTCCCCGTGCTCCATTCAATCATCTTCAGCCGGCAAATGCATCGTAAAAGCATCGTAATGCTTGCAGGCTTATTGCTTGGTTCGCGGAAAGCGATTCGGCAGAGGTAAATAAACCCGCCCCCACGGCCGCTGATGTAATGGCGCAGAGGTGTGCTGTGGCCGCAGTCAGCTCTTGCTAGCCGTTCTTTTTGGTTCTGTTGGCCTGTTTTCGGAGAACTGCCTCTTGAGTTGAGTTTATTGGCATTGATCTTTTGCTTCCCCCGTGCTCAGAAATTTGTGAATATTAAATCTGACGATATGCATCTAAAATCTACGAACGTTTTACTCAGGAATTACAATGCAATTGCTAACACATATAATGTTCATGTGGTGCTAGCTTGTTAGCTTTCCCGGTGCCTTTATGCGTGGTGCAGCTGAACAACGGACTGCTGTGGCAGCACTCTCCACGTGATCAGCACACCCGAAGGTGGAGGGGCTGCGCCCCCCCCCCCTTCCCGGCCCCACACGGCGTGACGGTGGGCGCCTCAACCGTTTGTGACTCGGCGAGGGGTAGACTGAGTCAGTGCCTCCGGCTATAAATACCAGACTGACCCACAGACCCCCACGACCTCAGCTGGCTGCCTGCAGCTGGCTGGTACGGGCTGTCTGAAAAAAACTGCTCACAGCGCAGCTGCAGCTTATCGAACAAGGTAACGCCGGGCCCGAGAAGATTTGATATAGGTAAGCCTATACAATTACAGGCTGCAAATACAAAAAGTATATAATATGTTGCGCCTGCACGTGGTGAACTTTCCGATCGAATATTTCAACCGGGAACTATACATACCTGCATGCAGTTATAAGAGGAACAGCGTCAGCTTGGATGATCAGAATACGCCTGCTTACTCTATCCTTCCTTCTCTCCCTCTGTCATTAATATTATCTTTATCTGCACCTGTACCTGTTTCTCTTTTCTTTCGTTCTTTCTTTCTTTCGTTCTTTCTTTCTTTCTTTCTTTCTTTCTTTCTTTCTTTCTTTCTTTCTTTCTTTCTTTCTTTCTTTCTTTCTTTCTTTCTCTCTCTCTCTCTCTCTCTCTCTCTCTCTCTCTCTCTCTCTCTCTCTCTCTCTCTCTCTCTCTCTCTCTCTCTCTCTCTCTCTCTCTCTCTCTCTCTCTCTCTCTCTCTCTCTCTCTCTCTCTCTCTCTCTTTCTCCCTCTCCCTCTCTCTCTCTCTCTCTCTCTCTCTCTCTCTCTCTCTCTCTCTCTCTCTCTCTCTCTCGCACACCTTTGATACAGAGGACAGAAGCGGACCAGACCAGATACTGCATGCGTCAGAGCCCTTGTCAGAGATCCATACACCAGTCACCACGGATCGCATCTACAGCGGTATAATTGTTTCCGCGTGGCATCCTCAACCAATACGTCTACAGAATCCCGGCGCGGCCTCGTTCAAAGCCGGCTCGTCGGTATCGACTCCAGTCCGTGTCTGACGGCGACGGGACGCGTCGAAACGGCCGTCTGCTCCAAGGTATACAGGGTGGGCCGTCCAAAATAGCTCGCCTGGCCGCCCGGCGCCGCCCCAGCCTGTCGGCCGCCGCAGCGCGCCCGGGCCGCTCCTCGCTGGAGCTGGAGGGAGACGGGTGTTATGGCTGCCTCGGCACCTACTCTGGGCACCCGGCGCTGTTTTACGGGATGCTGCAGCCCCCGTTACCTACAGCGGTCTGATTCCATAGCGCAAATGGATGGTAGTTTTTATTATTAAAGTTTTTTAAGAAATGAAAATTGACGTGCAATTAAAATTTGAAGAAAACCACAATGCGGGAACATTTTATAGTAAAATATGTTATTTTCATAAAGCAGTCGGATATATTCCCCAACATGTTTTGCTTATTACTATTACCGCAAAACTTTTTGTTTCCAAATGCGATACATGGAAATAAGTTTATCTAATGTATGAAAGCGAAAGGCTGTGAATTAAAATGTCAATTAATTTACAGCTGTCTAAGTATTTATTCGATGCAGAAGGCTGGGGTGATAGTCTGATTTAGTTTTCGCTGTTTATTTTCGCTTTATTATGACACATATAACGATCACGGTATATCTTGTAGCGATGCGATGCAAATTTTTTTCGCCACATCTCGACACAAATTTAGACACAATAGCACCTGTAAGCTGGCTTCATTGGTATGACAGTCACAAGTGATGGAGCCATTTAGGACAAGGGCAAGTGCCAAGTATAGGTGCATGCGCCTTGCGCTGACTCATCTTACACCCACAGCCATAGCACAGAACAATCCCATGACAGCTTCGCACAGTCTTTGATTATGCAGTGCCGCAGCTCATCCAGAGAATCTTACCATTGCAGGTGTCCATAATGTAACGGCATTCACCGTAAAAACCCTTCTTATTATAAAAGTGTGTTTGATATCGTTACATACATGGGTGGAGAACCTGCCCCGGCAACCCCGGCCGTGGCCGGGGTAACTTTCAGCCGACCCCGGCGCGGCCGGGGTAACTTTTTCCACTTTTGTAAATCCTAAAAGCTGTCTCCATACGAAAAAACTGCCATCTATAAAAGCGTCTCTCATTATTCTTATCTACCTTGAAAAGTTCTTGAAAATGTACTTTATTTTCATTTTGGAGCTTCTATGTTTTTAAGTCTTTTCATCGCGGAGCCCGACATGTTTCATCAAACAGAAGTAAATCATATTTAAGGGCCGTTATCGTAAGATGGCACTGTAATAACATCACAAGACAGGACGAGGACGAGGGTAATATCAGTGAGATAGAAGGGCGAACTGCTGGGGCTCAAGGCTCCCCCAACTTAACCCGCGCCAGGGTGATGGCCTTATCGTAACACGTTGAGTCGAGACTCGAGAGGTGGGCTTTTCACGCTTCTTTTAACTCGGCTACTGGGCTACGAGGCGAGAAGCGGAACGACGTTTGAAAGAGCGACAAACGTGATCAGAGAAATCTGGTCATGTTTTAGGCAAGCTCAATTATAAAATCACCATAGAACATCAAAAGACAAATTTTTCTGATTTTAGCGTTCTCCGACAACTTTTCTCACACTTCATGAACATAACGGAGCTTAAACACTGCAATCAAAACATTCGATTACTCGTTTAAGTCTCGGTCGCGAATAATATTTCAGGTGCGAGCTCAGATCAATAAGAGGGTCAAAACGGTCATATTTGACATTTTGTTTTGTGTGGGAAGGTTGCAACTTCCACGGAATAAGCTTTGCAAAGGCCAAAGGGCATGATGGCATTTTTAGCACGACCATCCAGCAAATTTGACCTGATGACCTGACCTATCACTAGGTGACATGCGTCCGAAATTTTAAGGAGTGTTGCAAAATTGTAGTTACAATTACGAAATCTTCCGCACCTGCGTGCAGCAGTTTTCCCTAAAAACGTACAAACGGCAGACATCCATTATTCTATGCCACAGAATAGGGGTTTGTTGATAACCGTTGACAAATATTTGACCATCATCGTCTTTCTGACTTTCGGTCGCCGGCCGGGGTAACTTTTTCAAACATTCTCCACCCGTGGTTACATACACTATTTACTCCATTTTCCAGTTGCTACTTTTCACACGGTTAGCATCATTCTCTGAACGTCCTCTGTCGGTTTAGCCGCTCTAGTAGACGTCGCAGTTGGCCGAGGAGCGCTGGGTGCAGATCGAGTTGCTGGTCCTCTCTGAGAAGCCGTTCGATCGGTCCAGCCCGGAGCCGGCCAGCAGGTTCCTCAGGTTGCAGTAGTTGGTCGACATGTCCAGCACAGCGTAGAACGTCTCCGATGTCGAGAAGCCCTGTGAGGCAAGGTGACGACGGTCGGGAGGATTACGATCGAGCTTATAAAGACGTTTATTTACTGAATGGCATGTGTTAGTCAGTGACTCAATGGAAAGAAGAGCCAGGAAACCAGAGAGTGAGATGTTGAAATATGTGCTGAATTAAGTAAAAAGAAAATATATATTTAGGTAAATGTTAGCAATAAAATGTTCTGGTGCATAATAATCTGCTTTTTAATCAAATCCAACATGCAGCGAAAAATATTAAGATAAAAATACACTTTTTAGGGTTACTCACGTGGACAGTGCAAGAGCCGTCATCGGCATCGTCGAAGGTGAACTCCAGGTCGTCGACGTAGTGCGACACAGGCGTGGTGTGGGTGCCCTTCACCACGCCATCCTCCGTGGAGAGATACTGGTAACGAGAAAAACACGACGGATCATTCCAGACTGGGGAGGACAGCTTTCGAAATGCCTTGATAGGATATGTTGACGATCAGAGACGAGCGGAGTGGACAAAAATGTGGAGCTGGCAGTGCATCTTAGATCTCGCATTTCATTTCGAACAATAAAAGCATGAATAAGCTATACCTATAAATAAAAATTCCACAGCAATCATAAACCGTTAGTTGTCACAGTCATGCCTACTTAGATGTCGAGGTTGAAGCAGAATTGATGACTCAAAATATAGGTACATATAGAATTAAATACATCGAAACCTAAGACTGAAAATAGCTCAGTCCTCACCTTGTACAGACACTTCTGTCCGCCCGACTGGCAGCCCTCGGGGCCGGCCCAGGACTTCATCTGCTCGACGATGGCCCTCTGTGCGTCCACACAGGACATGCCGACCGTCCTAGGGCAGGACACGGTGGGAAACGATTTAACCCTATTAGTGGCAGGCTCCTGGCTACCCCATATTAGTGGCAGGGGGGATGTTTACGACCCCCCTTGATATCTCGAGATCTAACCGGCCGATTTTCAAAATTCAAACGGCATTCGATTTGGCTCAACGAGATCTACATTTCTAAAAAAAATAAAATTAAAGAATGTCAATAGGGGGGTAGAAGGGGTAAAAACGGGAAAATTGCACATACATTTTAGACGTTTATCACGGCCAGGTTTCTGAACCAATCTTAACGCAACTTTTGCCGATCGATAGAGAATGAACCAGGAATTCACATGGATCCTAAAAATATGCATTTTCAAAAATCATAGGCGGATACAGATCATTGAGATTGGGGGTACACAAAAAGTGTAGTTAATAAGGTTTTTGTTGGTACTGTTTCTAAAAAGGGTGGCAATGGTCTTGTTATGTTACAATTTTCTTGTGAGAGAACGACTAAAATTGTATTGGTCATGCATAGGCGGTGTCAGGGCACCTATGTTGGGAGGTAAAAAATAACCCCCCTTTTTGGACGCCTGGATCCGCCTATTATAGCAAAAACGTGTCAAAAGAGGATGCACAATAACTTTGTATATGTTATCACATGATACCTTTCATTCACTGTTCGTAAAACTGGTGCAGCATCGTGATCTTCGCCCAAATGACTCGCTTCACGAATAGGACCCCCAATTCCCAGTGCTCTGGAGCCGCCCCTGGTAAAGTTATGAACTTGAAATTTTCAGGGAATGTGCCCAATTTAGTTTTAGGAAAAGTCAGAAAATTTCAGCATCGTAGCTTCAGCGGTTTCGGAGATATTCCCGAAAAACCTGAGGGGTGGATAAAAACAATCCCCCTGCCACTAATAGGGTTAAGTCATTCCTTACCATCACCATTCGTTGAAAATTAAACAGTATCGCTCAATTAGTACAGCTACGACGAACATAGTCACTTCTTTTTAGAGGTCACGAAATGTTATATGACTTATAATATAATATAGTCGTTTTATTTTAGGTCATCTTAGCCAATTAAAATTGATTTTCAATGAGCAGAGATGTAGGGGAGAGTGGGGAAAGATGCCCAGGGTTTTGCTATGTCATATATTATTCGAAAATGACGATGGGAAAGCAAAAACTTGAAGTTTCAACGGAAGCCGACATCATTTTTCTCCAAATATATCACACTTTCGTGCCCGAAATATTATAACTTTTTTTGCTATTAAGCATTTTCCTGAAGAAGTGAAAGGGGGAATCTTGCCCCACAGGGTGGGAAAGACGCCCCCTGACGTTGGGAAAGATGCCCCCTGCACTACAAGTGACATAAATGGGCACGTGAATCGCCTGAACGAATCAGTAGTCCATTCGAGCCTGCAGTAGACACCAAACGTCATCATAAGGGCCCTCAAAAGTAGTCGTAAGGGGCTTCAGAGGTCATCGTTAGGGCCATCATAGTCCAGCGCGGCCAAACAAGCCTCCGTGGTGGCGTTAGGAGACCACTGTGGGGCTCTCATAGGTCTTCATGATGCTTGAGGGCCCTCGAGCCCATCGTGGGGACCTCCGATGCCAACGCGGCCCATGGGGCCAACGTGGGAGCCCTCAAAGGATGTCGTGAGGGGCCCTGGAGCCAATAATGGGGCCCACAGAGGTCGTCGTGAGGGCTCTCAGAGTCAGATGCCGCCCAAGAAGTCGCTATGTGGGCCGAGAGACCGGCATGGGGAGCACCCGACCCTACTGGACTCCCAATAGTCCCAGACCGGCTTTTGTCTACGTCACAAGTACGTAATAAATGATTTGACGGGCTGTTTGAAGGACAGCCTACGGATTTAGGGGGGCGTCTTTCCCCATCAGGACATGGGGCATCTTACCCCAAGGTACCGAAGTAACATTAAATCAGTACAATTTGTTAGCCATAAAACTACACCCTGAAACAAACTGTTTGGGACACAGTACACGCATGCTAATGTATCACGACTATAGCAAGGGAAGCAAAAATTATTTACCTTCAATTTGATATTTACAATGTTTTGACACCAAAATATTTTTGAAAGCAGCAAATAAAAAACATGCAATCATCAGCCAGCCGTTGCCCAACTGAGCCTCGCAAATTTGTGTGCAGTTAACAAGGCAGGCTTCCGCTTTACGCTAAGAACATTAATTTCCAGGTCCGATTCTTTGTTTCGCCGCTAGAGGGGGTCTTTCCCACCCTGGGCATCTTACCCCACTCTCCCCTACCGAGTGGTGTCAAAACGTCCCCTCCCCCGGCGCAAGTTATATACCGGGGCATTCCCTGGTGCCCTCGCTACCACGTACCGCGCACTCACCAGTCAGCATGGCAGGAGGCGTGCAGAGGATAGTCGAACCAGGCTCCGGAAACTGCCGACACACAGACCGCCAACAGCACAGAGAACAGCATGATGAACGCTCTGTATCGGAGGAAGGCACCGACCACCGCGCGGTGACAGAGATCAGGGCGACTGCGGAGCTCAGCTGCGCTGCGGAGACACTGTTATCATAGCGCAGCTGACTGTGACGCTCCAAAGTCTGAGGTCATAGTCGAGTGAATCAGAATCCAAAGTGCAATGTATTACCCGTGACCCGCGGATACGTGCGATTACATAGGTACCTACACCATTTCGTGAATGAACTCTGCCACCAAAACACCGAAGGCTTACTCTTATTTTATCTGGAATTCCCAGCTAAGATCTTGGTGATCCCATGAATACCTTCTCTAAAGGGGGGTCTGTCGACGTCCGTTCAACCGATTCAGTGGTTCCATCCATATCGATCGGCTGGAACATAGAGGGCCTTGGGCTGAAACGTTGCCGTCTACCGAGTATTGGAGGTGCCAACAAAACAGCTACAGCGAAACGACGAGACTCATCCCGAACGAGCATTACAGTCTCGAGGATCGGCGTGATGATCCAGCTTGCTCGTGTTCTGTCCGCGACAGAATGACCGTTGTCACTTGTCCGGTTTACCCCGCACTGTCGGCCTTCGAACCGGTGTGGGAAGTAAGCTGCCTGTTCCATCACGGTAGCGTCTAAGAGACCGCTTGTTCCATACTGGCTGCCATAGGCGGATTTAGGGTAAAGTGCGACACACTTTTCTCCTGCGAGACATTATTTTTAGCTTAGATTATCGCCAGTGTATAGAAAAGGATGGATAATTTTGACGTAGATCTGCCCCAGAAGTACCACCTGGATCCGCCTGTGTCCGTTGCTAAGCGCTGTAGATGTGCGATACTGGTTATATCCAGTGAGAGATCACCTCTGGCAAACTGGGCCTCGAGCCGGTCTGAGTCCGATTCAGGTCCGTTATGGTCAGCCGGGATTACTGATGGTCAGCAGATCGAGCGGTTGGTATATATGTTGCAGGCACTTTAGAAAATCAGTCATTTTGTAAAATGCCTAGGCATTTTGCAAAATGCCTGATTTTCCAGGCTTTTTGCAAAAAGCCTAGGCATTTTACAAAATGACTGACTCTCCAGTCATTTTGCAAAATGCCTAGGCATTTTACAAAATACCTAGCCATTTTACAAAATGACTGAGCAGCGTGTTGTAGATACGAGTACCTAATTATATACGTTTTGGTAGCGTGTAGGTGGACCGAGGAGTCCAGCATTATGACCAGAGGAGTCCAGCAGTGGGAAGTCCATATCTACCTCTCTCTATTTTGAGAAGTGCAGGCCCGCGACATTTCCAACCCCCACGTCAGCGACGCTGCTGGATTTAAAATGATCGATCTGGAGCGTCAACAAACGACTGGCCCTATGCCGGCCTGTATCTGTAAAACCATTAGAGGTCGCGAGGATTCGATCCCACACACTTAGGCGTTAGTGTCTTCTGAAACCAACGCTCTCGTCCTACGCCAAGCGACCTGATGAGTGATGATTCTCCCGATGTGGAGCTTGATATTTTTAACTGGGACCATGCAAGTAGGTACTCAAAGCTGTCAAACAAAGACACAATCAAACAAAGACTACACTCATTCGTTTACATGTAATTGTACATCAACCGGGCCTGCCTATTGACTAGGGCCGGTCTCCGGCTGGTTTTGTTAGGTCTAGTTTCAGGCAGAACATGAACGGCGTTGATGTACTTGGGAGTTTTTACAGCGTTAACTAAACAATGCTTTATGCCACAGCCGAGTCTGCAACTCAACCTGGTCGTTACTCAGCATTGTCGTCATCACAGAGCTTCAAATCGATCAGCTACAGGCTGAACACGTACCTATAGGGTATAGGAAGACGTCCAAAAACTGTTGGCCATAGTATCTGTAGTGGGATCTACGTTCCATACTGGTCAGGCATTTTGCAAAATGCCTAGTCATTTTGTAAAATGGCTAGCCATTTTGAAAAAAGCCTGGTTGCGTTCAGTCATTTTTCAAACAGCCGTCTTTTTGTAAAATGCCTAGGCATTTTACAAAATGACTGATTTTCTAAAGTGCCTGCAACATATACGTGGCATATATCTATATCCCGGGCGATTAGGACGCGCGGGCGACAGTGCATGGCCAGCACGGTGGTTACGACGGCCGTGTGAGTAGATAGAAATACCTACCTACACAATACACATAATTAGCCGATCAAATAATGTGTATGTAAGAATGTTGGTAAGTCTTAAGTTTCTGTGGGTAAATGTATCCTGTGTCATTTTCATGTGAACGATTGAACGAATACGAATAGTAATTTATCGAATATTTGTCGAATATCCTATTGAATATGCTATCGAATATGCTAATTAATTAAACATAGGTACTGTTTCATTTCATTTGCACTGACGAAGACGCCTTGTCGTTGAAACGTCTGCGAAATATAGATGTAAATATTTGAATTACACTGTTTTGTCGTTTGTGGACTTGAAACAAAGTATGTAAGAATAAAACACGATCCAGAAATAGTGCTTTACGGTTCCAAGATCTGTAAAAGGAGTTGATATGGCTGATCTTAGGTCTGATATATTTTGTGAATGATTAACGACTTAAAATTTTCCGGCGAGTGGTTTAACCCTCGCCCGTATTGGTGTTTTTCCAGCCGCGAACGTATAAGGGGGGGGGGGGGTCCGTTGGACCCCCCCTTGCCGTTTCGCCCCTGATCGAGCTAGAGCTTCGCGGAAAAAACGAGCGTGTTGCCCGTCACGAGAGGAAGCCGATGATACCTAATTTTAAGGTCCTAGGTCATTGGTTGACCTTGCAGGTCAGGTCAATGACCCAAAAGTCGGGAAAATCGGGACCTGTTAAAACGTCGTAAAGTGTGGCTGCTATGGGGGTTTTCGGGGCGCCGATCACGAATATCATGTTAGTTTTGATCACAGATGATGTCTTTATGCATTTAGTCCAGGTCGGGTCAGGTCAGGTCAGGTCAACCAGTAGGGGTCCTGCCGGGTATTCCTAGTAGGTGTCAACCGCCTCTGACAGCTTCGTAACATGTTACGAAGGTACCAAAACTACTTCGTAAACGTTCATATGGTTACTAAATTCGAATTCAGCTAAAAAAACTGGCCTAGAAACATGTAAAACTCGAAAAAGTGAACCGAGGTCACCAAAGGTCAATGACCTGACCTGACCTTCAGATGACCTTGACACCCACCCTAATGCATGGGGGCAACATCATATCACATGTTTGAACGCTTGAAACCACGAAAAGACTGCAAACGCGCGGCTAATGCGAGCCGACATACGCCGAATCGCGATTCCGGCCAAACATGGTCTCGAAAAGTAGGTCACAGGTCAAAGGTCATTGGGGTCAGGGTCATGAAATTTTCAGGGTGGGTGTAAAATTGATCAACGCGAGGGTACTGAAAGTTTCGTTGCGATCGGCCGCTTTTTACGCGAGTTATTCGCGAAAAACCATGGGGGGGGGTCCGTTCGACCCCCCCCCCCCCTATACGGGCGAGGGTTAAAGTCACTAGTCAGCGGAATTCAACCCTAATTCCAACTTGCTGCGGTTAAAGCATACCATTGCCCACCCTTATCGGAAAATCACTGATGTTACCATAACTGGCGACCGGACATTCTTGCAATCAACTCCTAATCCAGGAATATTCAAACGGGACATTCAAGAAACCAGCCCGTTTCTCCCCTCCCAAAGATCAGCGAGAACCGCGGGCCACCGCCGATGTCTGGGCGATTCCTCTGCTCTCACACTTATCGCCGGCCCACACCCATACGGCGGCCACGAAAATCGCACGCCATCGGCCATAATGACATAACCCACAAAAACTGAATGGGAATTCGGGCCACAAAACGTGAGCTCGATAAGCATGGTAACGATTACAAGAGCTGCAAGAGTGATGCTGCCAAGTGCGAATATCGACCACACCTTTCAAACGTTCAGAGATAATAAGGGACCAGTTTTACAGGCTTCATGCTCAGCACATTTGATAAGATTAGACGGTGCAGTGTCCCAGCGGTGCACGTCCTCATGTGGACGCGTGATTATGGCAAATGGCGAAGGTGGATCCCTTCTCACGAGCCAAGACGGCCTAGCAAATCTTCCGAAAACATGCATTCGACTCCAATAGAGTTGTGAGCGAGATCTAAGGCAGATATCGACATCAATATAGAAGCACACATGCAGTCGAGGACACACCATCGTAAGGGTCAAGTTCTTATGACCTACGGAGGTCAAACGATATTTATATCATGGCAAAAAAAAAAACACTTAAGGGACCATACTTTGTCAAAAAATCCAGCAGGATCCAGAACAAAAAATGCAGAGTCAAAGATTAAAAGCCAATAACTGAAACAGTACGCACAAATGTGATCATTTTTCTACCAAGAGAAGGCGGTCGGCTGCTTTTTTATTGCGACAAGACGCAATAACGAATAAGTCAACAACAAACACGTCCATCAAAAATCTCGGGCGGTGTCAAAAGAGTACTATTGGACAAGTAGTAAAACTAATTAAAGATAAACAAGTCATATTCAAAGATGCTCGTATATTCAGTAGCCAAGCGTATAATCACAGTAGAAACACACACATACGTTGAAATGTGTACACACGAACATTCACTTCACCACACGAGGCTTGGACGACAAAGCAATAAAAACACTCCACCACACAACGTAAACAATATAATTAATACAATGTCTTAAAAATTTGTAACGTAATGCCATATACAAAAGTTACACATCTAGTACAGTAAAATACTCTGAAGCTCGCCCCGTGACCTCATTTCCTAGCCTCTAGTTAAAAGCACATGAGGCGCCCTCGAAAGGTGAAGCCACGCGACTATCTGCGATTAGAGACCTACGCTGTGCACTTGGTGAGTAAAGCTTACCGGAGTACATAGGTTTGAATGACGGCATTAGGCGAGGGCGCTGAGTAGCCAACTGAGCCCCACACGAACCGCGGGGCAGCGCTCGCGCGGCGGAATTAGCTCAGTGCTAGCAAAAGCAGAGTACGTTGCATGTGGCACCCGAGCAGAGGACAGAGTATGGCCCGATGACCCGGGTACTTAATACAGCTATTTCTGGACAGCAAAAGCAGTTCCTTGGACTATGTTCAGCTGACCCAGGACATCCTTGTCCCGATGACACACGTGCTGAGTGCACGGCACACGTGTAAAACCGACATACTACGCACGCAGAAACATACACGGAGTATACAATCACAGCACTCGGCGCCCGGCGCGAAGTGACGTCATTCTGACGTCATAAGCCGCTGCCGGCGCAGTCCGTCCACCTCCGCGGGGCGGGGCCCCGCCGCCCGGCCCACCCCGTCCCCAACAGACGCCGTCACAGGCTCAGATCTCGACCGCGACGGCCGCGCTCGCCGTCATGGTTTCAGGATGTCTCCCCCATCCCGCGGATCGGCCACCCGCCGTGCCCGCCGCCAATGTACCGTTAGTAGATGTTGATCTTCTGAGTGATGGGCTTGCGGCACATGTGGCAGTTTTGCAGGGCGTGGGCGCAGACCGCGCAGGCGCCGTGACCGCAGAGGAAAACGACGTTACGCCGGCGCTCCATGCAGATGGAACAGCCGTGCACTTCCTCGATCTCGGCGATCTTGGTCTCGAGGTAGCGCAGCCGCTCGGTGCCGAGCACCGAGAACACTTTGCCGCGCGCAGATAACACCTTCCCGTCTGCGGGCAGAATAACCACGGTCAGACACAGGCGGGGAGGCGAGAGTAACAAGTAACAAATACTGACGGGCAGTTCGGCGAGCCAACCACCGGCAGCGGCGGGGACGAGGCTCGCAAATACTGGGGGCAGTTGAGACAGTCAGGCGCCGAGTTCAGCGCGCAGAACCTGAGTCGATGGTGATTAATTACTTATATATGGTGAGAGAAAAAGAGTGAGAAATAGCGATTAAACGCCCGGAATAAGGCGGTAATGGATCCACCGATAGAGAGTTGGCAGCGGAGTTGGACGCCTCGATCTATGTCACTGCGAGGATGAGACACTGAGACAGGAACGTTAACGAAGGGACACACTATATGATGCGGCTTTTCATAGCCAGTCAGAGAACACACAGATGCCACATTCATGGTGAATGATGAAGGTACTGATTTGTGTAAGATACACGACGAGCTGGGTAGGAGACACAAAGACTGCCCAGCAGTGCTGGAGTAGTCGAGCTTAGGCCACAGGTGTTCAACGCTACGTGACGTCATAGTGACCACGGAGGTGTGGGCATCAGCCTCGTCGGCGCGAGTCTAATCGCCCGGGGCAATCAAAGGTCAGGGGTCAAACGCGCGGTCATATGACGCAGCTACCCGCACAAACACGATCGCCCACTATCACGGTCGATCACCCGCAAAAAGCAGCGCTAAAACGGAGCGGACAAAAAAAGCATCATCCACAGCCAGACCCGGCTTTGTTCTGTCTGTTCTGCGCCAGGGCGGTCCAGCACTGGGCCGACAGCGCAAACTGCCACTGATAACAGTCGCGGCGCCGCCCAACGTAGCGGGCCGGCCAAGGTCACACATGTGTCACCCACGCCCCTCGGCTGCGGCGCGTCTGTGTCAACTGGTGACGTCAGAGCGCGTGCAGCTGTCGGAGGGTCACGGCAGGCGGCCTCCGTCCTGCCCCGAGCGGCGGCATGCCACACACCACCATAGCAGAGTTTCGCGGCCCGGACCCGGGGCCGATAGCCGGCGCAGCGGTCGGGCGGGCTTTCGCCGGGGAGTTTCGGCTATCGACTATCTGAACGGACGCCGACGCACGGACGGACGGGCGCACCGGCGGCTGGGTGGACGATAGCGGGGCGGACGATAGCGGGGTGGACGATAGCGGGGCGGACGGACGGACAAACAGACGGGGTTGGTTGGACGGCGAGGGACACAGGAGCGGCGCACGGAACCAGCCGGCACGGGGGCGGCGGTGGGCGGTGGAGACCTGTGAAGGCGGGCGGGCGGTGGGCGGATGGCTGATCCGGGCGGCGCCGCCTCACCCGCAGCCGCCGAACACGCCCAGAGAACACACTCCGTATATGGTACACCCGGAAATGGCCAACAAAGGCCACCTGAACCAAACCAGGCTCGGAGCGAGAGGGGCGCGCCCGGAGAAACGCAGCTATTGTCCAAGACGACGGAACGGTTGGAGAACAGAGCATCTCAATTATGATCCATATTTTCACTATGAAAGAAATACTTGGCAAACAGTGCTCGCCAGAATCTGGTAGCGCCGGAGTCCAATGACAGGTGCGCGCAGCCCCGGGCCCGGTAGCGGCTGTCCCTGACGGAGCGAGCTCGTCGGCTAACCAGGGCGCCGGGCGCGCCAAACCGCCGTGATCTGTGGCCTCGCGAGCACCGCCTCACTGCTTTTATTGGCAGTGGAACCATTGGCGCGGCGCACAACAGTAACAGAATCCCGCCGGGAGCTTTTCAGTCAATATCCCGAGCAATGTCGACCCAGAACACACGGCCAGTTCAGCGCTTTGTTCTCTGACAGTTTCAACGTGCAGAGAATGCCGCGAGGGCTATCAGATGGGGCCAGGTGAGCGGACTTTGGGAGAGGAGCGGGCATTGGGCCGACCATTCCGACAATCTGATAGCTCCTTTGTATTTGAAGTGGCACACACGAAAGGTAGTTTATCATGCCCAGGGACAGCTGGTTTGAATAATTTACGGATGTTTATAAGTCTCGAAACTGAACAGAGGTCAAGCGTGTTATCCGTACCGAAGCCGAACAGTGAATAACAATTCGGGAAACATTATCGGATCACCATTTCCTTGGTGATTCTGCTGGATCTGCAGAAACAGGAAACTGGCATGTATCGTTCTAGTTCCTGTAAGCTTCGCCTATCTGACACACTTCCTCGTTCGGAAAAAGTACGACATAATCCAAGCACCCCGTTCAATAAAAACAGATTAACATGAAAGAAAAAAACAGCACCTAACATATAACTAAACCAAAATATGCTGCTTTGAAAATAACAAAGCAGTCTTTTGCTAGCGATGAGGATAACAATGGCGCTAGGCTACACGAGCACTATCAGGGCGTTGCTTGTTATACTCATGGCGCTAGGCTACACGAGCACTATCAGGGCGTTGCTTGTTATACTCGATTTCGGGTGAGTTCGTCATTCATTTCTCCACGACTGACAAAGGTTCATGGCAAGAATTCATTTCAGTTTTTGTGATACCATACACATACACAATACAATTTAAGTCTATTTTCGGATCCGTGGGACCCATGCGGATCCGAAGGAACAGCAGACAGTGCGACGCCGTTACCAGCTGCAATAGTGTTGTCAGGCTATGCCATGCCACCTTCCGTAATGCCAGACAGCAAATGTGTGACTAGGACGACGTCATGTATGTATACGTCTGAGTGACGCAGCCCGCTCGGAACAATGCCAGTGTTTATGGTCTGTTGAAACGGGACAATGAACGCCGGCCGCCGACACGACGGGAGACAATGAACTGGAGCGCAGTCAACGTTGAAACAGTTCTATCTGATCGACTGACAGTGGTCCGGCGACGCGTTCGAACAACGATCTTGCCTCTACTTTACCCTGAGCTTCATTGAAAATATCAGACCGTTCATCCCTTTCAGAGTCTTATCGACACGTTAACTTAAACCGAGAAGCATCAACGCCCCTAAATTCACCAAGCGACATTTGAAAAGGAGCACTGATAGCACTGACTGTAACTCGACTCCCCTAAAATGGAGACAGTGAATGCCAAATTTCAACAGGTTTTCATGTTCACGGAATATTGTCGGTTCCAGGACTCGCTCAAAAAGCATTACTTTACTTCAGCAGGCACTGGCATTGTCAGGCCCAAACGGGGTGAATACCAAAGTGAATACCATTTTGGGAAGTCTGCACTGGCCCTTCCCTAACCCTGCGGCGTCCCCAGTGACCACTCCAGCATACACAGTACACACGCCGTCCGCGTGGGCGCTGTTTTTGGTGGTCCGAGCCACTTATCATCGTCGTTAGGCCACAGGATGCTCACCGGTGCCATAACTGCGCGCTGCGGGTCGATTTGCACCCGGCCCGCGGCCACGGCTCGCATAGATCGGCGTCCCGATGCATGTGGATGGCCGGGGGACGGCACAGCACCATCCAAACAAGGCGGTGTCGACGGACCCGGCCGGCCGGCCGGCGGCCCGGCAGATGAGCTGTACACAGCCCAGTCCCTGCCGCCGGACGGCCGGCCGGGCGCAAACCGATGACGTCACCATTTGGACGTAAATACAGGCCGGCCGGCCGACACACGGTGTGGCGTTGGAGCGGGACTGAGGGTGGTGGCAGCTGCTAGGCAGGGGGCAGCCGCGACCGGGAACGGCTCCTCATGGATGACCACACTGTGACTTTTATTTGTCACTGAGCTAGTGAGCTATCCACGACCCATAGCGCGTTTGGGGGAGATGCTGCAGGATATTGCCTAAACAGGAATTCACCACGTTCACGTATTGATAACAATGACGAAACATCCACAGGGCGGATGCTGGACAGGCTGAATAATATTGATGCTACTTTACGGTCGATTAGTCCATTATCAGATGAAAAACCCGAGCGAAGAGCGGAATTTGTTGATATTGTCAGAGATCACCATGAGCTCAGGCGTGCCAGACCCCAATGATGTCAGGGATTATCCCAGTGTCATATTGCTGGGAAAATACACATCTGGGTTCAATGTGGAGTTTGATAGACCTATTACGATACGTGGCAGAATACGAGTATTCATCCAAAATGTTAGCGATACTCGGCAGGTGCACCGAATAAACTATAAATTTCAATCACAATTTGCAGCGATTTACAGAACGTCAGGTGCAGCTGATGTACTGTAAAATTTTTATCACAATTTGCAGCGATTCAGTCAGGTGGAGAGCATTTCATCAAATACATATTCTATACGAAATTCCACAGCATTTCAGGCAGAAAATGCGAGAAGAGCCCAAGCTTTGCTGGGCTGTAGCGTTGAAGGACTCAAATCTATCCCCAAGAGCATCTGCCCCCGATTACTCTGGCACTCACCTGTGGTCTTTTTGGTGACGATTTGCGCCTGGCAGCGGAGGCACTTTTTCATCCTGACGCAGCAGTGATCGCAGGTGATCCTATGGCCACAGGGCTCGAACTCCACACTGACGGGTAGCTCGCAGCACACAATACACGACTCCTGGGGTAGTGGGAGAGGTATCGGGGAGTGTCAGCGGTCCGTCCGAGTCACGGACAAACACAGGGAGAGGACAGTGCTTCTAACTGAGTACGCTGTACGCGATCCCACCCTGGGGGCACGAGCAGATGCTAAAGCAGTACAAGTTGCAACTGAGCCAGTACACAGTGCCTGCTACCGCTACATCGATTCCAGACTTAAGTGATTAGTCGACACAAAATGGGGCCTAAAGCCTACATTTGTCCTGAGTGTTTAAAATGAAGAGTTGAATCTCATCCTGCGCTCAATCTTATACCAACATGCTAGCCGTACCTATACTAATGCGTAACACGCAGAACTCTCTACAACCGCGTTCCGAAATTACTTCACAGGACATCCCCTAGCCATTCACACCTTCCAAACCGCCTTTGGACCCGCCACCCATACCTCGTCGTTATCCAGTTTGAGTTTGGCGGTGTGGTCTGCCAGCGCTCCCACGGCCACGGAGGAGTTGGGCTGGGCGTCCGGTGACTGGGGCTCGCCTCCAGAGGCGCCTCCCGAGGCCTGCTTCATCGTCTTCTTCACCAGATCGGAGAGCGATGGAAGCTCCAGCGAGTGGCTGGTGACGGGACAGGCGGAGAAGAGTTAGTAGATGATTGCAAGAGCAACTGACATCACGGTTGCTACCTGAATGTTTCTGAATAGAGCTGTCACAATAAATACCCAGACAAACAATTATGGGTGAGTTGACCCCTAGACCTCTGTTTACCGTATACAGAGGTCTATGGTTTATCACAAAACAGCATTCTCCACAATAAACCAATTACTCACAGTTCAACCAGTATCTGATCAAACCAACGTATTGTGTCGTTGGCAACATCTCAACATCTCAAACATAAAAGGTAAAGCCTCCGAACTTCACCCCGGTAGTCTCGCCTAAAAGAGTACACACGCAGCAGCGGCAAAATGCACCAAACCGTGCTATATCAGCGACGGGACCAGCTGCGACAACAGCACAACTAACCTCCGCTGTTTGGAGTACCACTGCAGCAGATCGGCGAACTTTCTGTCGCTGCCGCGGACGGCCAGGTCGAGGGGCGTGCGGTTCTTCCTGTTGATATGGTCCAGAGGCGCGCCCTCCTGGGCCAGGTAGCAGGCCAGCGCCTGCACCAGACTCACCTCCGTTCCTAGACGGAGATCGACAGACGGTAACCGAGAGCAGGGACAGAGAGAGAGAGAGAGAGAGAGAGAGAGAGAGAGAGAGAGAGAGAGAGAGAGAGAGAGAGAGAGAGAGAGAGAGAGAGAGAGAGAGAAGAGAGAAGAGAGAAGAGAGAAGAGAGAAGAGAGAAGAGAGAAGAGAGAAGAGAGAAGAGAGAAGAGAGAAGAGAGAAGAGAGAAGAGAGAAGAGAGAAGAGAGAAGAGAGAAGAGAGAAGAGAGAAGAGAGAAGAGAGAAGAGAGAAGAGAGAAGAGAGAAGAGAGAAGAGAGAAGAGAGAAGAGAGAAGAGAGAAGAGAGAAGAGAGAAGAGAGAAGAGAGAAGAGAGAAGAGAGAAGAGAGAAGAGAGAGAGAGAGAGAGAGAGAGAGAGAGAGAGAGAGAGAGAGAGAGAGAGAGAGAGAGAGAGAGAGAGAGAGAGAGAGAGAGAGAGAGAGAGAGAGAGAGAGAGAGAGAGAGAGAGAGGAAGGCGAGGAGGAAACAAAGAGGGTGGACTGGTCGGGTGGGGAGGGACCGAGAGAAATGGCGGACGAGTGAGGACGCCATTGTTCCGGAATAAGTACGGCAGTGGAATTCAACAATTTTACTGAAGCAGTGTGGGCCCGTTGACTTGTTTGGTTGAGGGCATTAAGAACATTAAGCACTTGTCGTCCTGCCACATTTTACCAAAAGTTCTTTGAAGTTTCGGGGCGGCCCTAGCACACAGCCAGCCACAGTACCACGCATTGGTCTCCATTATTGTTCAAAAAGGTGCCCACTAAGTTCAGTCTCAAATCTCGCCCTCAGCAGTATCCCATACCCGTCCATCTGTCTCCCCCCTGCGTCCCGTGGGGTCGCTCACCTTGCGAGGCCAGGTGCGCCTTGATGCCGTGGATGAGGGGCGCCTCGCCGGGCCGAACCTCACTGGAGGCCGCCAGCTTCAGACAGGCCAGGTGGAGTGGGGTGTCGCCGTCCTCATCCGCCAGCAGCACTGAGGCGCCGCGACTCACCAGGTACTCGACAATACCCAGGTGTAACTGAGAAACACAGACAGAAGTCAGTACAGACTCCGAGACTCACCAGGAACTCAACAATACCCAGGTGCAACTGAGAAACACAGACGGAAACACCAAGTCACAGGTCAGAGTAAGAGCGAATTACTTAGCACACCGAAGAGATTAGCATCTGGCTGTATGGATAAAAGTCACTGGAGACCCATTTTGAGCCACCAGCAAGTGTTTCTTTATATTCGCTCCACCACAAACACTGCCCTCTAGCGTCCCCTAGCCACTGGCCGGCTCTGGACCAACAGTAGCGCCGACATCCGGTCGTGGTGGTGTCGGGGCCAGGAACTGGCTGAGGCCTGGACTGAGGCCGATACTGGACCCTGGACTGAGGCCAAGCCTGGGCAATGGGCTGAGGACGGAGCAAAGCCGTGACTGAGGTCGGAGCTGGGGCCAGGACAGAGACTGGCAGGGCCGTGGTGGCTAGCTCCAAGGTAGTGTAAAGGAACTGAGGCTGAAGCTGGGGGGCCAGTCCGAGCTGAACAAGGGATTGAATCTTGGGCTGAGGCTGGGCTGAAGCTAAGGGCAAGTTTGGACTACCTACGATCGGAGGTAAAGCCGAGGCCGTTCCCACCTGCGACACGGCCAGGAGTAGGGGTGTCTGTCGCCGGTTGTTGACGGCGTCCAGGTCGCACTGTCCCAGCACGGCCAGCGTCTCGACCACGGCGCTGTGACCGTTCAGACAGGCCAGGTGCAGCGCCGTGAAACCGTCCTCCTTCTTCATATCGGCCGCCTGCCGCGACCGGCCCAGCAGCTTCTCCACGGCGCTGTGGGGGCGGAGAATACAGTCAAGGAACATACACAGGGTCAGGGAACCGGCCCAGCAGCTTCTCCACAGCGCTGAGGGATTAGAGAATACAGTCAGGGAACATACACATTACACAGAGTCAGGGGACCGGCCCAGTAGCTTCTCCACAGCGCTGTGGGGATATGAGCACGCAGGGTCAGAACAGGTGACCAATACCGACCGGCCCGGCATCTTCTCTACCAAGCTGAAGGGCAGGAAAAACACACAGCTGGGTCAGGGTCAGAAAATAACAAAGGGGCACCCTCAGGTCAAAGACTCGAGAGGATTCTCGTCCGCTCAGGAAGGTGTGAAATGGGACCACCCCTGCGGCGAAACAGATCATCCTCGAGTGACACTACGATGATGAGAAGACCGCCGCTGCATCGTCCGTCCAGGGTCGAGCATGGCAAGTAGACAACGCCGGACTAGAAGTTTAATCGCTAAGCAGGTGAATAGCTCGTCGCTTACGCGGGAAACAAAGCTGTAAACATGCAGCGGGTTTTATGAATAAGACGTAGTGGATTTTAGACGCATCATGGCGAGGAATTAAGTTCGACCAAAACTGCACTTCCGGTAGGAAATTGCAGACCATCCACCCAAGATTTGCCAACTAAACCGATAACCGTACGAGCGGTTCTATTTTAATCCATCCACTCATTGATGGCGTCCAACCATTCCTGGCCTGAGCCTAAAATGTCACTCCGTGTGGGCGCCACGGCTGCCCGCGAGCTAAACCGGGGACGGTATTTCCGAGGGTGACATAATGAAAACAGCCGATATTTTCGGACAGGCTGGACGACGCCGAGTGGTGACCACGGTTGGCCTCCGCCCCACCGCCCGAATGGGACAGATGGCCGCTGTTTACTCCGCCAGCTGAGTCAGAATGATTGCGACACGAGTCCTGGACGGATGGGCGTTAAGGCCGCCCCACACTGGACCTCGCCTGAGGGTTGCGAGTTTGCGGGCATAATACTAATTCATAGAGTGATTAGACTGTTCCCTTATGGTAACTTCATGAATGCAGTGAAGTCGGTACATCTTCAGAAAATTACACATAGTCGCAATACCAACGCAACGAACCAAAATTCGACTCCAACGAAAAACCCGTAAACCTCGCAGAACTCGCAGAACTCGCAGCGAGGAAAATCGAAAGTTGACTCAAAATCAACTTTTGGAATGCGATGCAAGTTCACTCGCAAGCTGAAAACATGCAGACTCGCTTGTTAGATGGTAGTGTGGGCCACTCAGCTTAGATTGTATTATTTGATTTTGAAGAAACCCGAAAACTCCAAAACTCGCAACCCGCATGCGAGGTCCAGTGTGGGCCGGCCTTTAAACAGCGGACTGACAAAGACATACTGGGGGCTAGATTTTATGCTGTGAAGTGTGCACCAAAGCAACGGGTGATGTTCACGTCAAAGCAAATCAAAGATCGTGTCACCAGTATACATAGATGAAGTAAAGTATTGATGGAATGCCTGGAGTGTTGCAAAGTGTGCATCGTGAACAACGTCACGCAGTGTCATATGATTCTGACCAAACATCCCCTTACTATATTCACGCAATGAGAACTCGACGAACCTACACAAACCGCGTCCCAGACGAAATTACACCGGCCACGGCCGTCACATCGACCTGACGGGGCCAGCCATGTATCTCAGGCCGGAAGCGACTTACTGCCACAAAGCGTGAATATGGTTATACAGATCACACCTCAAGGAGTCATACGTCCGTCCCCAGCCCCGAACGTACACAGTTATCCCCCCCCCCACCCACCAGTCGGTAGCAGGAAGTAAGAGAGCCCTCCCCCCTCAGTCAGCTGACCGATCTGGGGGTCAGCTGACGTCATCCCTCTCCCTCCACCCAGGGCAGGGGAGGATTGGCGGGGTGCCTGACAGCTCAGGGCACGGGACCGGCAGGACCCAGCACACCACCCAGGCCAGGGAGGGCGGGTGAATGTGCTGAACGAGCAACTGTTGGACACCATTTAATAGATAATTGATAAGTTACTAGGGTTGGCCTTATTGACGCTGGCCAATGTTTCAAACGGACAGAAGGACTCAACATCAACGTTATTTTAAGCAGGTAGATGATAGGTCAGCAATTGCGTTGAAAAGAGTCATAGGAAGTAACTTCGTGCAAATAAAATCAAAAGAAATCGCCCAAATGCTATTTGGGCGATAGTCACCCTGTCCACTCACAAGTTATTTCCTTTGAGCGCTGCATGGTGAAGCACGTTGAAGCCTCGCTTGTTCTTGATCTTGAAGTCGAGTGCGGGCACGTTTCCGAGCAGTTCGATAATCTCCAGGTTGTCCTTCCCAATGGCGTCGTGCAGCGCTGTGTCCCCGTACATGTCCTGTAAAAGGGAAGGGCGTCACAAACACAGAACGCGTGCGGACTGGACGAGGGGGGACGTTATACACAAATAATGGGCGCCGGGGGCGGTACACGATAGGCGCATCTCTCAGAGGCAATAGGTCACACAAGGGTGGCGTAGAAAGCCATAAGATACCACGCGGCTACGGAAGACGATCACTCAGCACTGGCCTTCGTTCGGTCGCTCTAACAATTTTCCACCGACGGAACGCAATCAATTAATTGTGTCCTTGTATTAACCAAGACTGAAAAAATTTGCTTTTCGAAAACACAAGTTAATGTTTTGTGAGTAAAAGAGTTCTTACACATAGTTATTCCATCTTAAATAATCCTTTTCAGTTACCTACCATATTGATACACTGAAGACTAAATCCGAGAAAAATTACAGCATCACCAGATTACAGCATCACCCCCTGCAACACACCTGCAGGTTGGGGTTGCAGCTAGCCTTGACGAGCACGCGCACACAGCCCACGTGCTGTTTGTTGACGGAGACGTGCAGCGCCGAGCACTGGCCACGGTTAGTGGCGTTCACGTCCGCTCCCTTCCTGATCAGCAGCTCCATAATCTCCGGCTGGTTACTGTGGGTACAGACAGGGGTGCGGGGTTAGCCGACGACTAAATTGTTCCACAATCTCCGGCTGGTTACTGTGGGGAGAGGGGCAGGAGGGGTTAGGTGTCTGCCTCTGCAAAACTGAGTGGCCGCGCTGATGGGGCTGTCTATGATCTCCAGCTGGTAACTAAGTACAGAAGTGGCGGGAGGCGATAAGGCGAGACTGGAATTGTCATACGGAATTATCCAAGAGCTCAAACGGTTAAGAATAAAAAATATTGAGCCCAACAGCTAAGATATAACGAAATTGCCATCGCAAAGAACAACATAGTAGCACAGCACAACAGAAGCTATAGAAACCGGACACAGCGAAACGACACTGGTCAGCTGCACCACATCTAAAAATGAGTCTCCGACAGACCAGAGCCCACATCCCATCCACTCCCTCTCTGCCCGACTGCGTCCCTCGCCACCTACCCAAAGGCCGAGTAGTGCAGCGGCGTGTCTCCGTCGTCATCAGTGGCCGACACACTGGCCTGCGCGTGCAGCAGCAGCCGCACCGTGTCCATGTGGCCCTGGTGGCAGGCCAGCTGGAGCGCCGTGCGGCCGCTGGACTTGGCGTCCACCTGCAGGTCGGCAGGGGAGGGGGCGGTCAGTGTCTGACTGGCATCCAAGCAAGTGAGAGGGGGAGGGAGGGGGCGGTCAGTGCCTAGGCGTGACCAGAGGGGCAGCTAGAGGGAGGAAGGGGGAAGGTCACTGCAGTATCTTCGGTCTAGCATTCCTCCTCCCATTCCCATCCCATCCCATCAACATCCATATCTTGTCCGCGCTTCTTCATCCACTCTCTCCCCTCCCCCAAATTTATCAGTAACTATGTACCTATCCAATCCCTCTTGCTTCGCACTCATTCTCGCCCCATCTCCCAATACGAAAAATAGGAGAACGGTCCATTGTCTCAACCAGTATATTGCCCCTCTGTTTCTCTAGCCACATTTCTCCATTTCCACTTAATCCCGCCCCTTACCTTATCTCTGTTTCCCAGCCCCCCCCCCCCCCCCACTCCCCGGCCGTTACCTTATCCCTCTGTTTCTCCAGCCACTCTCCCGTCCCCGCCCGTTACCTTATCCCTCTGTTTCCCCAGTCCCTCCCTCCCCGGCCAGTACCTTATCCCTCTGTTTCTCCAGCCCCTCTCCCCGGTCAGTACCTTATCTCTCTGTTTCTCCAGCCACTCTCGGACGGCCTCGGTGCGCCCCTGGGCGGCGTCCCGCACCAGACGGTCGGCCAATGATGTGTCTTTGTGCTGCTCCAGGAAACTGTTGATGAACGACACCAGTGTGCCTGAAACACACACAGGCGTGGTTAGTGGTCACGGGTGATGGACACAAGGCTGTCTGCTAAATTTAATGATCGTCAATTTCGAAAGAAAGCTGTTTTTGTCTCATAGATGCCTCATAGATGCATCACAGACAACACCAGCATACAAAATATCCACTTCCTCGCTCTTCAAGCAAACATGACGACAAAACCCTAAAATATCATAATTTACCTACGAGACTCTTTGCTCGAGTACACCAAAATTATGATGCTTCACTTCCCCTCGCTCACCTGGCTGCTCCTCCCTCTCCCTGACCCTCAGTGAGTTGTTATCGGGTGCTGCCGCGCCACCGGCCGCCGCCGCCGGACCCGCCCCCGCCGCCGCGGCCCCCGAGGCGGCGCAGGCAGCCCCGGTGACGGGGGTCACGCACAGCGGGTTGATGGTCCACGTCTGCCCGTTCATGCTCACACGCAGGTCGCCGTCCGCGTAGATCTTGGTGATCTGGCCCGTCTTGCCCAGACACTGGCGAAGGAGGCGGGCTCTGGTCAGTACGGATTACGGGATAAGATAAACAGCAGGGCATTATGGATGATAAACCTGCAATAAGGGCAGCTGAAAATGGTCTATTCCTACGGAGCTCAAAATGTCATTATCGATTCATTTGAGGCAAAAGCTATTACACCGACCAAACCGATTCACCATTCAACATTTGGCTTGCCATTTCCCGTTAAACTCGTTAATCCATTATCTTTCGGACGATCAGAAGCTTTAACAATACCCAATGCACATAATCACAAGCAAAATCAAAGCCTGCAATACCCGGCCTCCATATCCTATCCCAAGAGGGGCCCACTCTGTCCTTTCTTTATCCCCTTCGCATTCCCACTACACCCACTTCCCGTCCCCGTCACTCACCATTCTCATCATCTCGATCCACTCGCCGTGTCCCTTCTGAAGGAGTTTGACGCGCGACGCGTCCTCCAGCACGCGCACCGTGTCGCCGACGGTGAGTGGGCTGACGCGCACCAGCGCCGCCGGGTTGATGGTCCACCGGGTACCGTTCGGGTACTGGACCCTGATATCGCCGCGGTCGGTGATCCGGTGCACCACGCCCACCTGACCGATAAACTGGGGACGGGGCGGGCGGACTGGTCAGCCTCAGCTGGGGGTGGGGAGGGCGGACTGATCAGCTGGGGGTGGGCGGACTGGTCAGCTGGGAACGGTCGACTTGGAACGGGTCGGGTCCGGGAAACGGTCAACTAGGAACACGGGACGGGGAACGGTAACTTGGGAACGAGCCGAGGAATGGTGAAGCGAGAAAGGGTCGGGAAACGATACGGCCAACGGGAAACGTCCAATCAAAGCTGAAAATATACTAAACCAAATGGACGGCGAAAATCCCCACTAGAGTTACACCATGCCGAGGCCCACACTCTCTCAATACCGCTACAGCACCATAATCAGTCAAAAACTCCAAAAGATAAACAAAGCAACCGGGTCCTCAGCCACCGTAGCCGGTCTCTGACAAAGCCCAGTTGCACGTACATATATTCTGACACACCTTCGTTAATCACAGCTATGACACCATTCCGGCGGCATCTATCTCTAACATGACCCTCCAGCTGTCTACCGCCCACCCCTACCGACAGCCGCCGCGCGGCGGCGCGGTCCACTCACGTCGGCCATGCGCGGGTTCCAGCCGCCGTGGCCCTCCTGCGCCGCCTGCAGGGAGGCCGCGTCGCCCGCCACCCGCACACGGTCGCCCATTGAGAACAGGCGGGCGGCCGGCCGGGCGGGCGGCGCCGGGGCCGGCCGCACGGGCGCCGCCCCCGCCCCCGCCGCGGCGCCCGCCTCTGCCGCGGCGGCGGCAGGCAGCGGTCGGCCTGGAACACAGGTGAGAATTGTCAGTGTCATCAGGAGTAGGGCGAACCGGCCGTACCGACAGACGTCACACACAGCTCACCCCAGAGACAGCGGCACCAGTGTTACCGGTAGGTAACAACGGGATATCACCCACCCCGCAAACCTGCACGGAGCAGCGCTGGGACTGGCAGGATACCACACGTCACCACACACGATGCTGACCTGTCATCACTAGCACCACCAGCACGGATGAATTACTGAGCATGAGTGTACCATCCACCCCAGCACAAGCTACCGCCTAAGCAACTGAGCTGGGACGGTCAGTTCCGACACACTGTGTTTACAGTTTATGCAGCGTACGGCACGGAATTTCCCACTCATGTTCCGAGACGAGTGATCGACAGACTGGCTAATTCCGAGGGATGTGCTCCGCGCAGTAAAGTTCAGGGAGAACTGGAAAGTAAGGCGCCTGCATAACGTGCTGTAGAAGACTCGCTAAGTACCTATTAGCGGTCGATTTCCAGCGGATACAATCCCTCCCTCCCCCCCACCCCAGCGCGGGGAGAGGAGGTATAGTAACCCCCTCGGCCCTCACTTACCCAGCGCCGGCAGATGCTCCGTATAGCTGTGCCCCTTGCCCATAGATGTGGTCCATATAGCAGTACCTCTCACTCGCCCAGCGGTATGACAACACCCCTACTCACCGAGCGCGGGTAGGTGCTCCGTGTAGCAGCCCCTCCCTAGCCCAGCTGCAGGGCCTGTACAGCAGCTGCACCCCTACTCACCCAGCGCGGGTAGGTGCTCCGTGTAGCAGCCCCCCCCCCTCCCCCCTCTAGCCCAGCTGCAGGGTCTGTACAGCAGCTGCACCCCTACTCACCCAGCGCGGGTAGATGCTCGGTGTAACAGTTGCCACCGGCGGCCTCCCCGCCGTTGACCAGCATCAGGTCCACCTTGCCCTGGTGGCCCATGCGGTAGACGTTCGACACGCCTGTCAGCCAGCTCACGTTAGCCACCGATCGTCCCGACTCGTTGTCCCATCCGTGGATGTCCGTGACGCGGCCCACCTTGTTGGCTGCGGGAGAGAGAGAGCGTGGAGGTCAGAAACAGAGTCGCGAACTAAAATATCACGGAATACTCTGATGTTTAAAAATCGTTACAGCGCAAAAAGCCTCAAAAAGTGAGGAAAATTATAGTCGCTGATTCAATCTAATTGTGATGAGAATAAGGTCACCAAAAGCAGTAACAAATCAAATGTTGACTGGAGGGGCATTCCACGATAGATCGTACCAGGCCCGTCACCCTCATCTCTCAGATTTTAATGAAAATCGGTCCTAGGGGTAATCATAGGCCCCAAAGACGCCTGACAAAATATCAGACTTCTCAGATCAGAACTTTTTGAGTTATATTGCATTACATTTTTTTAACTTCGGTTTGTAACGGTGAGTTTGATGGCCTATAACTCAAGAACGGGTTAAGCAACCAACAAACAGTAAACAACACTAAGCTTGCGATGAATCAAAAATTAATATTACTATTTTAAAATTCCAAAGAAAAATTTTCATTGTTGAGTAAAAGCCTTAATCTTTTTTCATTTGCCTCTAATGACTTTTGGGACCAAAATTTTTCACATTTTTATTTTTTCAAAATAAACTTAATGTCATTGCAAATCGACATGCAAAAAAAAAAAAATAGAAAGGTGTTCTTTCTATAAGTTCCTCATTTTCCCGCAAACAAAATGGGTTTCGGGGGGGTTGATACGACCCCAGCACGCCATTTCGCTTCTAATAGAGCTAGAGCCTCGCGGAAAAAACGAGCGTGTGTGCCGTTACAAGTCGCAGCGACTGGTACCCGATTTTAAGGCCTCAAGTTAACCGGTAGCGTCTGAGGTCAGGTCAAGTGACAGAAGTTACGGGTTCGGTTTTTAGTAAATAACTTCGCAAAAAAATGGCCGCAGAGCCGCGATTTTGGCATCATTGTGTTCACCTAGCTCAGGTGCATCAAATGGTATACTTTTTGCTAGGGTGAGGTCAACTTAAGTAGTTGACCTCGGGTCAAGGTCAGGTCAGAGCCCCTCAGGTCACGAAGCTGGGCAAAGGGTATCATATGGCATATCATTCGATTCGGAAGGTCTTCCTGAGTCAATTGGTGGCTTTCCCGACTCTCTAGCTCCATTTGATCTGGAGTTATCGACGAAAAACTCGTACGACCCTAGTGACGTCATAAATGACGTCACGCAAGGTTAACAATGCAAAAGTGAAGCATTGGACTTTGCAAGGAGTGCATGAAATCACGATACCATGTACGTGAGATAGTTTAGATCATTCTTGGCGCCAAAATAACAGTTTTTATATTTCCCCATTGACTTATAGCAGTGATGTCACGTGACCGACCTGTCCTCATGCAACCTTAAAAAGTTCCGAGATATACAAGTTGTGACACCTCTGGAGGACACCATGTATGCGTTCTGTAACTTTCATCTCGGACAGCTATGGTCATTGGCGTCCAAAACAATGTCAGAACTAAACAGCCTTTTTCACCCTCGCGCTTATAGGAAAGAGGGTTGGATGAACCCTCTTTTCACTTTTTTTCAGATGACTCAGACTTCAATTGAAATTTCAGTAGCCCGTGATGTCACTAGGCAGCTTTACCACGCCATTTGTAAGCTCCCCTCCCGAAATCACTATTCGAAACCGTTATTGTGACGTAAAATAAATACATTTATAGAAAGAACACCTTCCTAATTTTTTGCATACTTCTTAACAATGAGCCAACTATTTTTTTAAAGAAATAAAAATTAAAAAAAAAATTGGTCCCAAAGTCCAAAAAATACAAATGAAAGAAAACTCGATATGTCATATATCAAAAATAGAGTATTTTTCGAAATTTCAAAAATACATATTAATCTCTGTTTCATTGCAAGTTCAATGCTTTATAACATTTGGCATTTGAATAATCCGTCTTAGAGTTACAGCCCGCCAAACTTAGCGCTGCAAAGCAAGATCCAAAAAATGTTATACACCATGACTCAAAAAATACTTATCTGATAAGCCTCAAATTATCACAGGTGTATGCAGAGCCCCTGATTACCCCTGAGACCAATTCTCGTCAAATTCCGAGAGGTGAGGGTGTCAAATTGGAAAAAAGTGGTACGATCCATCGTGGAATGCCCCTGGAACGTACCGTCCTGGTCGCCCCACTCCCAGTCGACGCCACGCACCACCTTGGCACCCGTGAAGATACCCTTCAGCTGGATCTTGGCCGAGTCTCGGCGACAGGGCACCTCGCGCCTGCCGGAGCAGATGTCACAGGTCAGACAGGGATCTGGGTCACCGGTCAGACAGGGGACTGGGGTCGGTGACAGGTCACTGGGGTCGGTGGCAGGTCACTGGGGTCGGTGACAGGTCACTGGCGTTGGTGGAAGGTCACTTGGGTCGGTGGAAGGTAGTTACTTGGGTCGGTGACGGCTCTCCGGAGTAGATGAGAGGTCACTAGCTCATGGGCAGGTCCTCTTGCTGCTAGTGTAACGTGGGATGGGTATGGGCAGGTATCACGGGACAGGCACGGGTGGGGTAGGTGTGCTTTATTTTGAACTAGTTCGAATCGTTATTGATTAAGTATCACCTTTGCTAGTTTATCATGGTTTCCAGAGTATCGTTTGCAAGATCGTTTGCACCTACAGATAACCACTCGTCGATTGACGCACTGAACTGTTTGATAGGGGGATCAGAAATTAATTACGGATGACTGATACCTAAGTCTCCACAGCAAACACTGACAGAATGACAGTGTACGCTTTCTCAAACACCGATATCACAATGCCCATCGATTTTACTCTCCCGTGTCGGTGGATTGCCTCAGTTGGCCTTCAAGTCAGCGTGCCCTACCCTCGGTGCCCTAAAACGAATCACGACCGAGTGAACTGCCGAGGAAAACCTGCCTAATCATCGCATCACGAGCCAACAGTCATGGACGGCCCTGGCGGAACTGCTGGCAATTTATTATAACAGTCTCCCTCAGCCCACCAGCGTCATGGGCGAACCGAACACGTTTAGTTACAATGCAGCATTGTAGAAAAGCAGAGACCAACTCTTATGCCTGGCACCTCGAGACCAGCAACTATGGGGGACAGAGTTTTCATTAACATTTCAGCACAGTTCGTAACATAGTTTCACCAAAAGTCCTTTGTAGTCCCGTCTATCCCACTTCAGCTTCCTTTCTAAGTTGGTTTGTCATTATCAATACAGCCCCAGTTAGCTCAAAAGGACGTTAAAACCACAAAAAACACCTGACACCCCGAACACCGCCTGATAGTACGGTGGGATACAAACAGCCCCAATAGCTCCGCTGGGTCGCCTCCCGTCACAGCACCCCCGAGTCCCGCCCACTCACCCGGGCTGCCCGGGCCGCTCCACCCTGAGAAAGGCGTGTGCGGTGTCGTGCCGGTCAGCCATGTAGCAGAGTGTGCAGAGGTCGACCGGGTCAGGGCAGACGGCGCAGCGCCAGCGCATGCCGCGAATGGCGCGCTCCTTACACCCGGCACACGCCGTCTGCGGGTGCCGCACCCCTGGGGAAAGAGACGGAGGGTCGGCGCGGGTCAGGTGGGTAGACCTCAGGTGGGAGTTAATTGTTCATAATACATCGTCTCCTTGTCAACAAACGTGCATTTCCGAGGCGTATCTCCAGATAGCTGGCAGCCGGGAAAGTTCACCCCGTCCCTGAGATGGGAAAGCGGAACAGCGGTGACTCAGCCGATCTAACTGATCCATTATCTCTGAAGTGTCTGCAAAAGCGGAACTATACCGCTAGCCGCACTTATCTGCCCGGCTTGCAGGCGACAGGCGTATGTATGAAAAATGCATGGCGCGTGATGAATTATCACGAAAAGAGCGGACAGAGCAGCTGTCGTTCACTGCACCGACGAGACACTTATCGAAACACCGGTGCATCTCAAGTGCCGCCTGTCAACCACAAAGTGGAAAGCTGCGATACGCATCGCACAATCGCGATGCACCAGGTGGAGTTGTGAACACATGCCAGGTGATATTCTAAACAGTTTGCTCTAAATTCTTGAGCTGATACCGCGTGCGGAGCGGTGTTCTACTTCTAAGCGACGTGTTTCACATTCTTGAATACTAGCATACGCGGCACACATGATTCTTTTGGATAACTGTGGCAAGAAATATATATTAGGAGGCATGTGCATCACATGTTTTTGTCTCAAAGTGGTCAGCAATTCACTTTATACTCTCATGTAAACGCCTCGAAAACAGACAGCAGTGACTGATAAGGCTTCAAAAACAATAACTGAAATCAACCCATTACGTTTTATCGCGCAAGTATTGACCACTCAACAAGGCCTATCTTTGATCCCCCAGCACCCAGTGTAGTCAGTTATCTGCAGCCGCTGAGGGCACTGCGCTCGCACCATTTCCACCACTTTACGCCAGTCAACACCGGCGACCTTGGCTCCCACTCAATGTCGGCTGCACTCCCGCGGAGGCAGAGAGGTTCACCGACGGCCGCCGTCGCGAAACACGAGCACGGCCAGCGGTCGTATCGCCGGCGGCGCGTGACCGGGCCCGAGTGCCGGTCCGCACAGGGAGCGAGCAGCACGGCAAGTACCGGCGGAGCCGAGAGAGCAGAGCGAACCCCGGACTGAGCCGAGAACGGCAGGGAACGGCATCAGACCCTGCTGGCGTCCCCCAGCTACCACCGGAATCCAACCGGGTACACGGTACTGCTCGCCAAACCAGACATTACCGGACGGTTCAAGAATCCTAGAATACGTGCTAGAAGTTCATAATACCGCGGTTGGCTCTACTTCCTGTTTCACCACCACTACACAGCACTTTTGACTGTCCACGCTTCTGTCACCCTAGTCAAACGATTACCCGCCATCCCCTAAACAACAATCTTCTCACATCTCACCCTTACCATTTCCCAAGCTCCATAGTCTCAGAGACGTTACATGGTTGCCGCCCGTTAATCGCCCACCGACCATTCTCATTCCAGGTCACTCAGCCCCTTCAATCCCATGCCTCCAGATTCCTCAGACTTCTGCTTTCACGCCCCCCCCCCCCCCCACACACACACACCTCTAATCCCCCTGATCCCTAAACTCTCTCGTTCTCATTCCCCGTGCCCGGGACGCCTCACCTGCGGCCGCCGAGTCGAACACGGACAGGTCGTAGGCGTTCTGGTAGCCCACGCGGTAGTTGGTCTTGTTGCCCGAGTCCCAGACGACCACGACCGTCTTGTCCGGGGTGGTGACGCTGTTGCAGCCGCCCACCTCGACCACGGTGCCTGTGTGACCGGGCCCGCCGTCCTGGGCGCCCCACGACCAGTCGGGACCACGCACCACGCGCAGACCCACCTCCACCACACTCATCCTGCCGCTGCGGCGGCTGTCTGTGGGCACATAGCGTCAGCGAGGAGGGTGTCAATGGCATACACCTTCAGAACACTCATTCATACTTTTATCATTGCATCAATTGAAATGCAATGCCAGCAATGCAAGGCAACTGTGGCTAATTCCATCCAATGTACAGCACATTGCATACAAAATACCTACCTACCATGCCCAGATGAAATATGCAAGATACATCATTTCTTAATTAAACTGAGGTCTAAGGCTCAAGCAATCAGCATTGATCATATGACTATTTGGTCTAATGTTTTAGCCTGCATCCATGAAAATAGTATTTCGGTCTCATTCGGTCTCCTGACGAATGAGACAAAAGGTCATTCGGTCTCCTGACGCGCTTGCGAGCGGACGGGTCCAGCGAGAGGTGTTCTGACGACGATATTGGCGCACTGCGAAGGGAGTACTTACTGATTTTTGTTCACTTCAAGTAAATTTAGGACCGTTAGGACCATTATATTTGATCTATAACTTAAGGCTAGGACACTAGATTGTGCATTGAGCAGTTTCAGTTTTTTCAGTTTCTCAATCCTTTAGTTTGAGTATCACGGGGAGGCCCAGTGATGGATAGTGAGATGATAAAAAAGCTGGTGATGGAGGCGGTGGAGAAGGAGACTTCGGTTTTGAGGGATGAGTTAGAAAAAGTAAAAAAAGAACAAAAAAAGAGCAGTGAGGTGATTGAAAACTTGAAAACGGAAAACAAAAAGCTGTGGGAGGAGATAACAAAGGTGGATAGAAACCTAGACGAGGTTGAGCAGTATAACCGAAAGACCTCTCTGATTTTGGGTGGGGCTTTCCCTGAGGGTGAAGAGGGGGAAACTCCTAGTGAGACTAGAGAGACTGTCAAGAAAATCATCAAGGAAAAACTGAAAGTAGACATGAAGGGAGAAATAGTAGCATGCCACCGCCTTCGCAACAAAAAACGAGTAGTTGTGAAGTTCCAGGACCATGATGACAGGGAGGCAGTCTACCAGTCAAAATTTGATCAGGGGGGCCAGCCAGGAGAAAAAATCACTGTGCATGAAAACTTAACTGAGAAAAGAGCCAAAATGATTACAATGCTGGAGGAAATGAGAAAGCGTAAGGAGGTGCTCAACTACTATACTAGAAATGGAAACATCATGGCTAGAGACTCCGCTGAAAAGCGCTACACCCGCATCCAGCCATGGCTGTCAGAGAGAGATGTGAAAGCAACTCTTCAAAAGGCAGCCAACAAAACCACACAACAAAGTAACCAGGGCAGCAACTTCCTGCGCTCCCAGACACTCTCAGACATCCCTAAAGGATTTGTAGCTAGCAAGACAACCAACCTGGAAGAGTATGTGGTGCCCTCTACCCGGTCTAACCGGCAGACGAAGAAGGGGAACTAAGCACAAGATCAGTGTGAGTAGCAACCTAGCATTATGCAGCATCTGAGCAATGTTTGCGGCGTAGACTGGAGTGTCGGCATACTTTCCACCTTCCGCATCTTAAAATAATACCATGCATACATATACACATTATACAATGTGCCACAATTAATTCATTATGGTGCAAACAACAATGCAGGTGCTGATCTTGCTACCCAAGTGGCATATAGTGTCAGTTGCAGGAAATGGGCACTGGATATTGGGGCGTGCATTGGCAGAGATATCTGACCCTTTACTGGAGCTCTTCTTAATTGGTTCTCTGATAGTAAATGATCACCTTGATCTTATATGAGCCACCCAGGCGTGCAGCTGCCAGCTCTGCCAGAGTGCTATTGGAGCTGCGTGGCTGCACGTGGAATGAATGTGTGAATGGAATGCATACATGGGTGCTGAAATATGCACCAGTGCCTGGCAGAAAGGCCATTTTAAACATTTTAACCAGGAGACTGGGTGGCTTGCCTTGTTCATAATCTTTATCAGCATTATTGAGCTGCTAACCCTTAAGGAGTTGCTCCTGGTCGGATTCCTGTCTGGTGCATGCCCCTAGTGGCGCTTGGCCACATGAATGGTCACTCAATCACGTGGATTGCTGTTGTTGACCAATATGCTGCCTGATGGCTTATAGCAATATGTGCTACATGTGCCTGCACTTTGCACTGATCAGCATACATAACATAATACATACTTGTACTACAATAATACTACAATATAATACAATAATACAAAATACATTACTACTATAACTTGAAGTAGCATATGCTAAGGTTGAAAGTATGCTGTGCCACGAGATGCACTTTTGGTGCAGCATTGCTCAGATAAAAAAAAAGTAATCAAATCTCCATCTAAGTTCATAACACTCAACATTACCTGTTCCTTTATACTTACTTCATATAATCTGGTATACATAACCCTGACTCTGTTGTTGAATGAGGTCTTGCTGCATACTCTTCCAGACTTACATAAACATAAACAAACATCATAGCTACCTACATATCTAATATCTATCCTCCAGTACCTATATCAATATGCATTGCCTTTGTTTACCAACAGATCATAGTACACACGCCACGTGATTCACAAATAGCAGCAATTCAAGGTTGGATTAATTGTGCCTCTGTTGCATATGTCACGTGACATACATATCTTCTCATTCCAAATAAAAGTGTGTTTAGAAGACTAATTTATAAAAATAAGTTAGAACTCACTGCTCGAGTTTGAGCCATTTTGTTTCCATTTGTAGTTTCAACATTTCAAGCATTACAAAGTATTGCAGTTTATAGTAAAAATTAGCTTGAAATTAGTGTAAAAATAAATCCCACTACTAAAGTTCTTCTTTTATCTGGCCCCTCTGACAAAACGCTTGAACTGGGCTTCCCCGAGTACCGAGAGTGCCTGCTTTTTTTGGTCTCTTGGTCTGTCCTATCAGAAAATCCGTAAAACAAGGTATAGTACCTAAATTACAGTATACCTAGTCATTTGTCATGAACCTCGTAGAGTGTTCTGATATCCCAGAACCTCTAAATAGCCAACAATTTAATCCCTTTGCCAATATCACCTCACCTGAACTGCAGGTTGATGACAACAGCTTTAAAACCCTACAATCCTCTTGTGGCTATTTCTCCCTTCCTTCAATGTTTGATACAAATAAATCATCACACTATTTTTTGAATATCATTCATATAAATGCCAGGTCTATTTGCTCAAATGATAAATTTGAAGAACTTCAGTTGTTTTTGACCAGAAGTCATTGTGTTTGGCATATCATTTGCATCACTGAAACATGGTTATCGGACGACCAAATTTCTAATAGACAACTTCCTGGATATACAGGTTATTTTGAGAACAGGAATGGCAAAATGGGAGGTGGGGTGGCAATCTATGTAAATACTGAATCAGTTAAACATTCACTCAGATCTAAAATTAAAACCCTACAATGTACTCAATCAGTTATCATAGAATGCCAAGTCGATAGTTATCCAACATGCATTGTTGGAGCTATATACAAACCTCCAGACTTGGACAGTGACATTTTTTGTTGTGAACTTGAATCGTTGCTTGAGAATATAAATCATGAGAATAAGACAACCTTCCTGGCAGGTGACTTTAACCATGACCTCTTCAATATTGCAAATAATAACAAAACATTAGAATTCTTCAATACACTTGCTTTTCATGGCTTCTGGCCAACTATCTTTAAAACAACAAGAATCTCTGATGAAAGGGGTTCTCTGCTTGATAATATTTTTTGCAACAATATTGAACTGGTCTCCTGCTCTGGGATTATATATGAAGATCTCTCTGATCACTTTCCTATCTTTACCTGCTCTTACCCTCACAAAGATGCCAAAAGACATGACACTTATAAGCTCATCTTCAATGAAAACAGAATGGACAATCTCAAAGACTATATTACTGAGCATCTGCAAAATTTCTCACAAACTACAGATCCAAACATTGCCTCAAACATTATCATAGATGCATACTCCTCAGGAATAAAGATGTTTAGCACTGAAATAAAATGCACAAGAAAAAGTAAAGCTATAAAACCCTGGATAACTCCAGCAATACTAACATCTATCAATAGGAGAGTGTTTTTGTACAAAGAAAAAAATAAAAACCCAACCACAGAGAATAAGCTTGCCTACAATAGGCATAGGAACTGCCTTAACATTATCATAAAAGTAGCAAAGAAAAATTATTTCCAAAATCAATTTCAAGAAAATAAATCTAACTCCAAGAAAATGTGGGAGCTTTTGAAAAAATGTGCCATGGGAGGATGCAGTAGGCAGTCCTTGCCCAGTAGCTTTGTCAATGAAAATGGTACACAACTGGATGATGAAAATGACATAGCTGCTTCATTTAACAAATATTTCATTTCAATATGTGACAAACTGAAAAATGAAATTCCTCCAAGCAACACTGACCCTTTAAGTTATATAATAAGTGATCATGCTGAGCATATATCCAAATTTGAGCCTACTAATTCAGCTGAGCTTAACTCGATCATCAAAGCCATGAAAAATGTTGGCTCAGGTATAGATGGTATAAATGCAAAGATATTCAAGTCTACCTACTCTACAATAATACCTGAACTTGTGCACTTGGTTAATCTCTGCTTGGAAAAAGGTATCTTCCCAGAAAACATGAAAATTGCAGTTGTCAAACCTATTTACAAAGCTGGCAACAAAAGCAGCATGTGTAACTATAGACCAATAAGTATTTTGCCTTATATCTCAAAACTTGTTGAAAAGATAATTCACAAAAGACTCATGGAATATCTCCTGCAACATAATATATTGTCTGCTAGCCAATTTGGCTTTCAAAAGTCACTTTCAACATATATGCCCATACTTCTCCTGCAGGATACAATAATGAAAGTATTTGAAAAAGGCAACATTGCCATAGCTCTGTACATCGATTTAAAAAAAGCATTTGATACTGTAGATCATGACATACTAATAAGAAAATGTAGCAAATATGGCATTGTTGAGCAAGCACTTAGCCTGATAGAATCTTACCTTACTAATAGAAAACAATGCGTAGAATATAACAGTGCAAGATCTTCAATAGAAAATGTAAACATTGGTGTACCCCAGGGCTCCATTCTTGGTCCTTTGCTTTTCTTACTTTATGTAAATGATCTTCCAAATATTTGTAAAACAGCACAATGTTTACTGTATGCAGATGATACAGTCTTCATTTTTGAAGGTGGAACAGCGTTCCAGCTTCAAAATATGATTGACGTTGAATTGCCCATTATATGCACGTGGTTGCAAGCAAATAAACTTAGCCTCAACACAAAGAAAACAGTGTATCAAATCTACAATAATACACTCAATCCAGCAGAACTTAATGTAACATTAAATGGTGATCCTATTGAGGCTGTTCAATCAGTCAAGTACTTAGGAATGATTATAGATCCGAACCTTAAATGGAATCTCCATATTGACCACTTAACAACAGTTATCAGTCGTAACATTGGGGTAATGAGCAGAGCAAAATTTTTCCTTGATACTCATTTGCTAACTCTTTTGTACAATTCACTGGTCTTACCATATATCAATTATTGTTGTGTGGTGTGGGGATTTACATTTCCTTCTTACTTAAACAAAATTGAGTTGCTTCAGAAGCGAGCCATTCGTATTATTACTCATCAACATCGTTTAGCACACACAGAGGAAATTTTCAAAAGCCTTAAGCTTCTCAAAGTTCATAATATAGCAAAACAGCAGGCTATTATCTTAATGCACAGAAAACTTTCTTTTTCTCTCCCATCATCTGTTGATGGGTTATTTACCCTTAGTGACCCTAGCGATTCAAGGACCAGAAATCGTCAACAGTTCATTGAACCATTTATAAAAAGATTATACTGCACTCGTAATGTAACATGGCTTGGGCCTCGCATCTGGAATAAAATTATGGCAACTCAATTTAACGCTCAATGCATTATCAACATGTCTAAATTGCAAGTAAAGAAAATAAGTAAGGAGTATTTCCTAGAACACCCTGTGTAGCTTTTGTTTACATAAGTTCAATAATCAATAGTAAAATATGCAAATAAATAAGGTACTTTCAAATAGAATAATATGCATGCGTTGTATCACGTTGTAGTTTTTTATTCAACTCCTCCAAACACCTACTCGTATAGCGTAGCCTGTCAGCCATAGTGACTGTGGCTTACACCGAACCCACCCTTACGGCGTTGTGACCGGTGACCCCGACCAGCAACAAGCTCTGCTTAGCTGGAAGGGTTCATCCGGTCACACATGACCTTTTGCAGAATACTGACCAGAACCTGTGCTTTGTGTGTATGTATGTGTCCCTTTACTAACCCTGAATGAGTGTTCTTTTACATCATAAAACATGGTATTGGAAGTAGTGATTTAGTCTCCCGCTGCTTTCAGCGGGGACATCTTTTGCCGTTCTTTTTTCTTCTAACTAACCATACTTCCTCTTACCGACTGGTTGCTTATTTTGAGTTGTTTTCCGTTTCTTAGCAGGGAGTGCCGCGACTTTGCCATTTTTATGTTTTCTCTGGTGGTAAAGTAAGGTTCTGTGAGTCGCTGGGCTGAGGGAGGGGGCACTCCTGGTCACCTATTAATGGGTGGCGGTGTAGTTAGAAAAAAAAAATAGTATTCAGTGCTGTGTTTCATGTTGACTGTTAGTAGTCAGACCATCCAAGCCATCAATAATGTAACAGCAATGTGCGTATTAAGCACTTCTGTGCTACTGTTATGACCTATGACAGAACCTGACCTGAAGCATAGGCACTTGGCAACATCTTCATTTCCACAGTTGCATTGATATAATGTGAAAACTACTTTCAAAACTATCAACCAGATTGGCTGATGGTACTTTTTACACCAGTGGCTATTTTGATGTGGTTGGTAAAACTTCTGTGTGATTTAAGTGAACAAATGACTGAAACCAGCAATGATTGTTGTTTGTAAACCTAGCCTGAAGACTCAAATAGATGAATTTGAACCAATTTGGACCATGTCAATTTTCCCCATCCCCATCCAAAACACACAGATTTTAGACAGTCCTCAGAACAGTTTTATCAACAGGGCCCTGTTTCACCGGTGATAGCAGCAAGCTGCTATCACGTTTCGCGAGCTGACGTCATGTCGTGACGCCATACTGTTGTCGTAATGGGTAGTTCCGGCGCACGATTGCCGCGACCTTGGCGGCGGCATTAAGTGACGTATGAGCCTAAAAGTAAGAGTTTACGCAGTCATGATAGTATATATATTTTTGATATATATTTTTTCAATATGATGTATTTAAAAGAAGTTGGGTTTAGGAAAAATTTTGACATTAACTTCGAACATTTAGCTGATGACGTAGAACAATATTGCGGCAATCGTGCGCCAGAATTGCCCCTTACGTCAGCAGTATGACGTCATCACATTACGTCAGCTCGCGCAATTTGATAGTAGCTTGCTGCTATCACCGGTGAAACAGGGCCCAGAAAACCCTGGACCGAAATCTTTGGTTATATTTTGCCTATAAGGCTGTGTTTTGCTTTGCCAACAATGCAAAAAAAAAATGACAGCTGATCATTGAGGTGAGAAACCAATAACAATGCACAGCACCACCCACCCTGACTAGCTTCTTTTTGTATCATAACTGAATTTCTTTGTGGTTGATCAACTTGTGGGAGAGCACTGGCAGATCCAAGGGGGGCATACAGGACCCTTTTTCCTATTTATAGTGACCGTGCCTTTTTCATGGCATGCTGCTAGCACACTACTTGCACTATTGTGCTTTTGGTTTCCATAGAAATATAAACAAATTTTATAGTGAGAATCCAAATTTGTTCGCATTTCCATGAAAACTAAAAGCAAAATAGCACTAGTAGTAGTAGCCTGCAAGCAGTGTGCACCATAGGCATGCTGGGAATTGGGAGACAGGGCCCAGGGCAAATGTGCACTCACAGCAACTGAAGGCCGAATTTGATGGATTTTGGTGTTTATCTATAAAAGAAGAAAATTGAAGCAGCCTTAAAAAGAAAAAGTTTACATTTACAGCACAGCAGTGGTCAAAGAATCAGAGCAAAATAAATCAAAATCTAAGGGATTTTTAGAATTTTGAGACTTTCAGGCCACAGCATGCCTGCCCCACTGCATCCCAGACCACTTCTGAGTTTTGGATCTGTCTATGTCAATTGTCAATGTGGGAGAATTGAAGAATAAAAAATAATCAAAGCTGGCAACTTTCTTTTGGTAGATAACATTCAGCTCAGAATACTATTCATTACTTTCAAGAGAGCAAAATGTGTAAAAAAATGTCCAATGATTTTGAAGCTATTTTTCTTGTAAAATTGACCTGCAGGCTGCAGCAATCATAAAACTGAGGACAAATTCCCTCAGCTCTTCGGACTAAAAACTTAAACCTTTTCCATCATAACAAAGGAATCAAATTCAAGTAATAAGTAAGTACTCACCTCAAAACTTCAAGTGATTTTACACCTCGACAACAGTAACGTTTCACCATTCCCCAGCAGACAAGCTGAAGTCACTAACGCGTTGCCAAGCTGAAGCCCCTGACTGTGACAGAAGCTGAAGCAGCAAACGCGATATTTCCTCGTACAGGTACCGCTACTGACTGTCAATCAGATTCTCCGATACAAGTTCATCCGCATGCGTGAGCAATCGGTTCCCCCGGTTCCCGATGTCACCTCACTAGGCCAAGGCCGACCGACAGACACGGAAGGAGATACGCTTACAACCATCCTACAAGCTCAACGGGGGTTGACAACGGTTGACAATTCCGATACATATCTAGCGCTGATATGTCAAAAAGTATGCGTTCGCTAATCAGAGAACTAGAGAAAATATAACATATTTCTATAAATCTAGCGACTTTTGGGATATTTTTAGAGATAACTCGTCTACCAAAAATCAGTCCCAGAATGTCAAACTTCCGCAATGTTTCACGTTCAAGTTTCACCATAAGCTGCTTTTAAGAATCAAATCAAAAGAGACTGAATAATCTTAATAGTTTAATATTTAAACAACTAAAAAGTCAGTAGTCAGTTCACTCAGTAGTCACCTTTACGACAATGAAGTGCAAGTTCACAGTCGTTGCGTTCGTTAGGTAGCTGGTATACAAAAAAGACCGACGGATTTCGATCGAAACCAGGGCTAAATTTGGGCTAAATGAACTTCCAAAACCAGGATTCCTTGTCAACAAGTCCCTATAATTGCCCTATGTCCCTAGCCGGAACTTGTACCGCCTTGGCCGGATCTATCGATTCTCTACATTCAAGATTAGGCCGAGGGGGAGCACGACCTTCTTGCCGTTTCGACTCTAATTGACCTTGAGCCTCGCGATAAAAACCGTATGCGCCGTCACCAGTGACACCAGACACAGCGGCTCGTACCCGATTTTAAAATATCAGGTCAGCCGATGACATCTGAGGTCAGGTTAAGTGCCTCCAGGTAGGTACTGGTTTCGGTTTTTCGTAACACCACCACACCCGTGTTACCAGTGTGGTGTCGGTTATGCCGTCTGTTGAGCTGGCTGGCTGTAGTCTCAGCTCCGCCCCCACACCAAGGCCCCCCACACCAGTGTGACTGCCGACTGGTGTGGGAAGACGGGGAAGACGTTCGCCGTGCCATCTGGTGGCTCCAATGGAAACCCCAGTTGTGCCCCGCCATCTGTTGGCCGTAATTTAGACTTCGGTTCCGCGCTGTCAGTGCGTCCGCCACCTAGCGGTCGTAATGTGTGTGAGGAAATGTAACTTCGCTCTCTGGCCCCGCGGTCGCCGCCGCGGCCGGCCGACGAAGTGGCCGGCTGCCGCCTTTTTATAATAAATCCGCTGTCGCTGTTAATGAACCTCTCTCTCTACACCGGGGATAACTGGCGTGGTGGCAGCGTTCCAACCTATGCCTCCCCTTGATGTTCGTTTTGCCAAAAGCGGCGCAGCGACACTTGTCGTATTGCACATTTGAGGCGGTTTATTTTATCAAGATGGCGGCGCTGGCGCGTCCGCGCCGTGGCCTGAGTCACCTGAGTATTGTTTATTCTCGGAATTGACAAGCATCGGATTTGACGTCAACAGAAGCCAGAAGATACGGTTCTGCGCCTGTTGTTTGTTTTTCAAGCTGAATATGTCTGCTGGCTCGCTCTGCCGTGGTTCTGCTGGTGCTGTCGGCCGGAGACATGCTGCGCCACGCCGGTCGCCGCTGCCTTCGACGCCTGTCGGTTTGACCGCCTCAGACTGCCGCCAGCTGCGGGCCGTTGACGGCGGCTCCGCCGACTCCAACTCTGATTCTACTGACTCCCTAGTCCCTGCTGAAGACTGCCGCGCTCACCGTCCGCCGTCCGGTGTGCCCCTGCGTGAGGCCGCCGGCTGGCCGAAGTGCGATTCCAGTCGGGGAAACTTGGGGGAAACTGTGGAGCCGCAGCCTGCTGAAGAAGCGGCTGGTCCCCAGTATTTCTAACCTCTCTGCCGGCCTGACCCTGCGGCCGCCCGACACTGGACGGCCGCCCGCTCCTGGTCGCTGAGCGACGCTCCCGCGCGCCGTCGACCGAGGAGATCGGCCCATCAAGACTCGACTGTACGAGCACGTATGTAGCCGTGACCCCGCCCGAGTGTCTTTGTTGTTCATTCGGACTATGCCTATGTTAATGCGCGCTCAGCGACTCCCCTCTCCCGTTCGTTTGGGGTGATACGAGTACGACCTTACGATTCGATACGATGCGATGTTTAGTGATGCGTGTTTTGCCACCCGCGGTGATTTCACTTGTATTTTTTTTTCATTCGCTCCTTGCACCTCGTTTTGCAGTCCATCACAAGCAGGGCTATGCTGATTTTATCCAGGGCATTCGTAATTTTCTTCTCGCTTTTTTCGATTGCGGAAGAGAAGAAAAAGTGGTCACACCACCACACCCGTGTTACCAGTGTGGTGTCGGTTATGCCGTCTGTTGAGCTGGCTGGCTGTAGTCCAGGGCCTCGGCTAACATGTTAACTGGTGGGCCAAATGGCCCACCAGTGACCCGAAATGACCCACCAGCCTCAAAGATTTGGCCCACCAGTAATTTTCCGAAAAATCTAAGTTTTCACATTTCAAATTGAACTAGCAGATCTTATCGTACATTTTCAGGCTGTAGTACCCATCGGTGAAACATATTCTTGTGAAAACAACTTCAACCTATTGTTTGCAATATCCTCTTGGGGTAAAAAGTGGAAGAACAGACCAGTTCAGACGGTCGGGGATAGGCCTGCGAGCGATCTCAGACGGCTGGCCGATAGACACGATATAAGCCAGAGTCAAACTAGAGGTAGTGTCGGCGACTTCCAGCCGATTGAAGTCTGCAAGCGATCTTGTTACACTGCCGAATTTTGGTACAGGGACCCGCAGTTGCTTCTGTACACACTAGTATTTCAGCGTATTCTTTGCCTGTGACACCGTTGGAGGCGAATTGGGAAATGATTGTGTGCTTATTAAAACCACCACCTGAAGGGCTTTAAACTGATGTGCTGCTCTCCTAATTCAGTGAACTTTTTATGGCTATATCAGCAAAACATTGTTTTCAGCGCTTTTTCCTGCCCCATTCCTTCTGAAACCTGGAACCGCTTATTCCATTTACTCCTGCCATCTGACGATGGTCGTGCTGACTACTAGTTCCGGCGCTAGTTACTGCTCCAGTTTTGCACCCGGCACAAACTCAGGCGGCACCGGGCCGTGGCTCGACAAGGGGAGGGTCGGACCGAGCCGACTGCCTGGGGCGCGGTTAGATCGGACGCCCTGCTGGGGAAGGGGACGGGAGGAGGTGGTCACGTGGTCCGTCCAAGCTCGCAGACGGCCTGTCCTGCGCCCAGCCATGTTCCGTGATCCAAAATGGCACGAGAGCTGTGGAATGCCTGGAGGAGACGCTTCGAAAGCGAACTTCAGCAGCACTAATTTACCATATTCTGTGGAGATAAATGAATATTATCTTAATGCAGAAAAAAATTATATGCCTAAGCTGTATAAGCTGTATCTTTAAAAAAGTTGTAAATAGGATTATCTTTAGGGACTTATAGGTTTCGTATACACAGTGAATTGTGTTACATTAAGCCGTTTCGCTGTTATGGTTACTAACTGAAGAGTTATCCTTTTTTCTCACAGGGAATGACAATACAATAACAATACGAATAAAACAGACGTTTAGCACAAAAAAGTGTCTCCGTCAGTGTCAAGAAATAAGTAATTAGGCATACATGTTTTCTCTCGATAAAATCGATGAAGTAGTTATTTTTGTTTGTTTTTTAAGAAATATTTTCAGCAGTTTTTTAAGCACATCATGGAAGCTTATAAACATTTGTGTATTTTATCGGCAACCCGGCTGGCCAGACCGAGACGGTGCCGCATATAGTTCTCATCGATGTTAACCCTATACACTTATTTTTCTCCACTGACGAAGGCACGTTGTTGTCCGAAACGTTTGGTTTTATTCGCATTGTTTTTATATTGTCATTGTCCGTCAGAAAAAAAAACATACCCATATGGACTGATCTCAGTTCATGTAGAAATTGTTGCATATTAATAACACAGATAAAATGAATAATAGCCCTCACCACACATATAAGTAGAGGTAAGTAGACCGCGCCCCCTGTTTTTCACCAATAAATCGCGGCAAAGCGAAGGATTGCGACGATTCTTTGGTGCCCTGGAGATAATCAATTTTACAACTTCCCGGAAAATTAAATAGCCCTTATAATTTTTTTTTGCATCTTGTCTGAGAGTTTTAAATCCCTGAACCAAATTACCTTTAACCTGTGATTATTTTTCTCAAGATCATGTCAGGCCAGAATAGCAATTGAAAGTCAGCGCACATCTATGTGTTTTCATAGTCGTTTTGTGATTAGCAACGTGACAACATGTAAAATATACTATCTAATGTTTGTCTCATTGATTGTTGTGGGTGCCAAGGTCACGTGAAACTCAGGTTAAGGTCATTTACTTGAAATGATCTCGGTTAACTTCCTTAAATTTACACCTTTTTACTGTGGTTTTTAGGAAGTGTTGGTTTGAAATTTAGCACTCATTTTAGCATTTGAAAACTAGGCATACTTAGGTATCAGTTATAGTGCCTATGCAATATGTTGCAAGGCTGTAAGTGCTGGTCAACATTCTATGGATAGCCGGCAGAATGCCTAATGGGTGATCTGGCGTGACCCGTCCTACCCCAAATGCTTTGATACATCATCTTTGATCAAAGCAAGTGCAAATTCGGAGTCAGAAGCAAGCCAAGTCCCAGCAAACTTCACTTGTAGAAATTCTAGCAGGACCCAATTTTCCGTGCTTTTGGGTTATTAACCTGATCTGGGAGGTCAACCAGTGACCTAAGATCTCAGCATTGACTAGGACATAAAAATAATTGGCTTTCTCTCGTCAGCGATGACCAGGGCCCTCAAATCATCGGATTTCTCTCGTCACGAGCAGCTCGCTCTTTTTTATTTTTCAGCGAAGCTCTGGCTATTCATGAATGGCTGAGGGTTTCTACGCCCCTCCGCTATATATAAGACGCTGAAAAGAAATGCCAAAGTGGGTGCGGGTTAAATATCGATTGGTTTCTAAGTGCCGAAGCCCGAAACACTTTAATTTACTTCGATAGCAGTTTTTTAGACCAACGAGCTCGAATACTACTTCTTGAACAATGTAAGCACCAATAAAATGAATC